GAAGTGCAGAACACGTATCCACAATGATATACCTGAATTAAATGATTTCCTACTTTATACAGGCAACATATGTGTGTGATTACATTCTTGGTGGTAAACTTAATGGATCTAGCTCAACAAAAGAAGCTTTTCTGGAGGTGCTGTCTTCTTTTGACTGATTTCAATGATGATTTCTTACATATGTTAGCCAGTTCTTTCCATTTCTCCTTTCGTTCGCTTTCTACTTCTAACTATAGTTTGAACTTCACATGGTTGCAGAAATTCAAATTTGCAGTTTCCAAGGGTTTTGATCCAGACAAGGATCTTGTTAAAGCTGGTGTTGCGAACCAAACTACTATGCTAAAGGGAGAAACAGAGGAGATTGGTCAGTTGTGATTCAGTTAGTTACCACTTGTCTAGCAGTTGCCACTTTTAATACATGCTTCCTTTTTCTTTATTTGCAGGGAAATTAGTAGAGAGGACTATGATGCAGAAGTTTGGAGTAGAAAATATCAACAATCACTTCATAAGCTTCAACACTATCTGTGATGCTACTCAGGCAAGTCCTTTTGGTTTCCTTTTCTTATGTCACAACATGATTGGTCCCACAGAGGCAGATCCAGAAAAATTTCAAAGGGGGGCACAAAATAATTGGCATAATATAAAAAATAAACAAAAACTAATCATAAAAAGTATGGTTTAATTAAAAATGACAAACAAGTCGTTTTTTGGAGCATGCAAGTGAGTTTTTTCTTGTTTTTATCATTCTTTTTTGCTACTACCAAAAAAAGTTAAAAGAGAGCCAAAGGGACATGAACTTGCAGCCTATAAAACCATGTGCAGTGACACTACTAGTAGTATGCAACCACTTTTTGTTAACTTAAGGAAGCACACATCAATTTAAAGCTGGTGCATCTTTAAGATCCCTAAAAATTTCCCATTGTGTCAACATGATAGATTGGGTGCATGTGCATCCTCTCCGGTCTTCTTAAATCCGTCCCTGCCCCACTAACTTTTGAACATTTTCTCTAAGAATAATATGATTTAGTCTATCCTTGTAGGAGCGACAAGATGCTATGTATAAGTTGGTGGATGAAAAGATCGATCTTATGTTAGTAATTGGTGGGTGGAACTCGAGCAACACCTCGCACCTACAAGAGATTGCAGAAGATCGCGGCATTCCATCTTATTGGATTGACAGTGAACAAAGAATAGGTCCTGGAAACCTAATTGCTTACAAGTTGATGGTAAAGACTTTCACCTCATCAACTAGTTTCTGGCGTTATTACTTGCTCTATTTTTGATTGTGTTACATAACTACGTTCAAACCTGTTTCGTTTCAACAGCATGGTGAATTGGTTGAGAAAGAAAACTGGCTGCCAAAGGGCCCTGTCACGATTGGCGTGACATCTGGTGCATCTACCCCCGATAAGGTAACTCTCGTCACTGGAAATATATCGAAACATCTCCAACAGTTTGATTTTGTTTTGTGTGTGTGTGTGTGTGTGTGTTTAACATGTTATATATATATATGCAGGTTGTGGAAGATGCTCTACTGAGGGTATTTGAGATCAAAAGCCAAGAAGCCCTGCAAGTTGCATAGATCAAGTATGTACCCAACTATAATCAAATAGCAAATTATAATACATGATTAAGTTTGTTTAGCATTTAAACATATTTGCAGGTGCTATTAATTACCTTCATTATTGTATGTATAATATTATATAAAAAACCATGATTTCAGTTATATCTGCAAAACGCAGCCTTAAAATACCAAATCAATCCCTAATGATTAGATGAACTTCTACATACAACATGACTTGTACTCTCTCTGTATCTATATTTTAATTTTAATTTGTCCCAAGATAAGTAAGGGGTCGTTTACCAAACACTTACTCGGTAAGCGACTACCGGTAAAATTTAACACTATCATTTACTTAACCGGTAAGATTTTAGTCCACCAAAACGGTATCGTAGCTTACCGTGGTAAGAGTCGTTGCTAGGGCTGTAAACGAACCGGACGAACACGAACGAACACGAACGGAGGCTTGTTCGTGTTCGTTCGTTTAACTTAACCGAACAAACGAACGGTAAACGAACGAAAATAATTGTGTTCGTGTTCGTTCGTTTAGAAATCCGATGTGTTCGTGTTCGTTCGTTTAGAAATCCGATGTGTTCGTGTTCGTTTATGTTCGTTCGTTAAGAAATCCGATGTGTTCGTGTTCGTTTATGTTCGTTCGTTAACAAGTTAAACAAACGTAAACGAACGAACATAAACGAACAGTCTTAACGAACATAAACGAACATGCCTAAATGAACATAAACGAACANTAAACGAACATGCCTAAATGAACATAAACGAACATGCCTAAATGAACATAAACAAACGAACACCACTATTTGTCATTCAGTTAACTATTACACACCAATTGTCCATAGTTTAAAAATAACAAATCACCATTATCATTTGAACAAAAAAAACAATCCGCTCATCATCATTTGTCAGTTGTCACCTCATGGAAGTTCAGTATCATATCGTCAGTTTCCTAAAACAAACAAACAAAACAATTATTAGTTGTTGTAAGAAAACAAGTATCATAAGATTAAGCAAATTACCTTGGTTTTCTTTTTGTGTAGTCCATAATGATGACGATACCAATCAGCTCCGCAAATGAGCATATCTACCGTCTTCGTCCCTAAAGAGGCGCGATGAGCATCGATAACTCTCCCACCAGCACTAAAAGCTGATTCTGAAGCAACAATAGTTATCAGAATTGCCAAAACATCAGCAGCCATTTTAGACAAAATTCTGAACTTCAGATTTTTCTCCTTCCACCACTCCAAGGCATCAAAATATGCACCTGAATCACCAATGTACACGCCTTCTTCTAAATAAATGTCCAACTCTGACTTCACACTTGCAAAAGTGTCAACGCTTCTGATATGTTGATCATACTTTGCCGTGCCACTCTTGATACCAACTCTAGAACTTAACTTGTTATAACCACTCTTAACTCCACTCTCACTTTTGTCAGGTGCACTACTCATCATTTGAACAACATTAGCCGCTTTATGTTGTTCAACATACTCTTCAAACATTTTAGTAAGAGTATCTTGAACAATTTTCATTTGCTTAGGTGCCTCATCCTCTTAATAAATGGAACTAAAAGAGAACTCAACCAATTTCATCTTGCCTTGAACTAAACGATGTAGACACAGTTACTTGTAATATGATTCATTTAGTTAACATAGTACTGTCACTAATGTCCATGAAACTTGTTATTACCATATGATAATATATACACAAAACCTAAAACACAACAAAATAATAGATCAAAAAAACACAAATCCTATAGAATCTAAAAATCTAAAATTGCAAGAATATAGCAACATAGAGCGTAAAAAATGGGAAAATTCTTAAGCAACAAACACTAAAATCGGTTTAGATATGAAGTAAATATAGAAAAAGTTTATGATAACCCGCCCCAAATCTTGAAGAACTGTAAACACAGTGATGATCGTGGTTAAAACAGTAAAAGACAGATAAGGAATTGAGAAAAAAATGTCATATTCAATGATTCTACAAAGGCATTATACACTCTTCCACCTTTTCTATTTTGCCTCTTTTTCTGACTCTTAAGCACCATTGATAGAATGAAAACCTAAAATTGAAATCAAACTAAAACCTTAGAATATTTTCGTAATATTTAAGGTAAAATCAACATGTAAGCCACGAATCATAGATAGGGATTTATCTTATACAAGCTTGGGAACTCTTTCCAATCATTTAGAATACAAACCTAAAATCAAAATCAAAAAGAAATTCGGATGATATTTGAGAGAACGTACCTAGATACTGCCCTTCACGATTGGCGAGTGATCCACAACACGGTCATCTCCTTTGCTTCTGCCCTTCACGACGACCACCACTCCACCAYACGTCCACACCAGTCGATGACCTAGAACTAGAAGAAACCCAACAAAACCCTATTAAAAAGGCCCAATATTAAAAAGGCCTAAACCTTCTTAAAAGCCCAATAATTAAAAAGGTTTTAAAATTTAAATTCAAACTAAATAAATAAAAATTAATATATAAACGAACATAAACGAACGAACGTTTACGAACATAAATGAACGAACAAAACTCTTGTTCATGTTCGTTCGTTTAACTAAACGAACAAAAAAATTTGTTCATGTTCGTTCATTTATTAAATAAACGAACATAAACGAACGAACGTTTACGAACATAAATGAACGAACAAAACTCTTGTTCATGTTCGTTCGTTTAACTAAACGAACAAAAAAATTTGTTCATGTTCGTTCATTTATTAAATAAACGAACATAAACGAACTTCCCGCCGAACGGATCACGAACGGTTCGCTGAACGTTCGGTTCGTTTACAGCCCTAGTCGTTGCCCTCACTTACTTGGTAAGACTCTTGGTCCTGTCGTGCTCTTACCGGGTAAGATTCTTAGTCCTTACCATATTCATCCTGTAAAGTAATGTGACTTGATGTTCGCTTACTCGAGTAAGCGTTTGGTAAATGACCCCTAAGTTTCTAATTTTCCCTCTATCCTTAATGATGAGATAAATAAAGTCTCGTTTGATAAGAAGGTAAAGCTGTCATTTGGTTGTTTAAGAAAATTCAATAATTTCATATTCTTAAAACCGTGTGCTGTTTTCGTTAGACATTTATAGAACGGAGGGAGTAGCATTCTATCACCATAAAGTTGAAAAACACGACCGATTGAGAGTGTTTTCTACAAATTTTAGAAACTTAATTAAATAATGCTACAACTGAGTTACTGGTTTTGGCTTTCTAGGAGGTCAAGGTGAGGTGAAAATGATGTATTGAGTTTATTTGTTGGATTTGGCGATAAAGACAATGTTATGTAACAAAAAATTTATCATTATTTCAATTATGTATGATCAAGTTACAAGAATACGAATTTCGGTTTGACACAATTAAACAAATGAAGTGAAAATTACCAAAAAAGAAAGTTAACATGCGTCGCGACTATAATCATACGAGAAGTTTGTCCAACATTTAATCGAGGGGATTGCTACTTGTTTAGGCATAAACGTTGATGAATCAGAAGATGGATGATTTTCATCGTGAAACAGCGAATCACTAGAAACATGTCATGTGTTCATATTTATGATAAATAATGGATGTGAATTTTCACAGATTATAATGATTTAAGTAAAAAATATTTTAATGATGCGTATAGAGATTTATTTGTAGCCCTGACCTAACTGTTGGATATTCAAGGAACACACTTCAAAGTTCAAACAACGTATGCGAATCATTTAAGAGGGTGTTTGGGATTGCTTATAAAAACAACTTATTGACTTATTACCGGTGTGACATCGATAATAAGCATTTTTGAGTGTTTGGATAAATAGTTTATACTGATGCAAAACCGGTAATAAGGAGTTTTTGAAGAAGTTAAACCTTACTAACTTATAATAATTAATAAGTTGATAAACACTTTTGTAAAAAAACATAAGTTATTTCAAATAAGCAATCCGAAACACCCAAAGTCAAAATCAAAGATGGCGAGCACGGAGCACTGGTTCTATTAATTGCTGATTTACACTTTCAAGAAGAAAATAAAATAAAATTGTATATATGATTTTTTTTTAATCATGAGTGTCTAGATTAGTTTATACAGAGGTATATATAACTTTTAAACTTAAATGAATTAGATGAGTCAAACAAAACGTGTCAAAACGGTTGGTGAAAATGTCAGTGCTTATAATTTTCTAGATTGTTCTATTAATTGAGTCGCAAACAAAACGAAACTCATTATATTTTTAATTAACTGGATATCCGACTCGTTATACAAGCCGACTTATCTCAGGATGACTACCCGTTTTGTGGGTAGCTCGGAGTCACCGCATTTGAACCTCCGTTGCCACAAGAGGCTCTTTATTTCTCCTTGGATTCGAACATGAGACCTCAAAACACTTTTGACATTTGGAATCCAAGCTCAAACCAATCAAGTACTACCCTTGTGGTTACGAAACTTATTATTGTTTTGTAAAAGGACAAATTGCATGAAAAAGTAACGTAGTTTAACTTAATTCTTATTTTAGATAACATACTTTCAGGACTTACATTTTGGTATTTAAGATGTAAAGTTTTAAACATTTAAGTACCCGAGTAACTGGTTGAAGACTAATTTTAGATTAAAAAAAGACTAATTTTAGATTAAAAAAATTCACGTCACTAACCACGTCAGCAAATAATACTGAGTTGGATACCACATCAGTATGATAACAGGTTACCCAGTTACTTAAATGTTTAAAACCTTACATCTTAGATACCAAAATGAAAGTTTTGAAAGTACGTTAGCTAAAATAAGAATCAAGTTAAAGTATGTTATTTTCTCATACAATTTGTTTTTTGTAAAAAGAACTTATATAAATGCAAGTATTCGAAGATTTATCGAAGCCGGATTATATCTCGAAAAACGTGTTGCAAACGGAATTCGAATTAAATACCTTATCAAGCATGCTATGAAGATTTATTGAACATTCAATTTGGATCATTTTTGTTTCATCAGCTAAATACAAGATGATAAATGTTCTTGAAAAATAAACCAATCAATTCTTGTATCAATCTGTATTAACGGTATCAATTTAGTTTTTTTTTATTACCTGGATATCCAACCCGCTGTGCGAGCCGACTAATTCCAGGACGATCATCTGCTTTGCATGTAGCCCGGAGTCACCTCATTTGAACCTCCGTGGCCACGAGGGGATTTTTGTTCATCCTTGGATTTGAACCTGAGACCACATGACACTTTTAACATTTGGAGTCAAGTTCAAACCAATCAAGCACCACCCTTGTGGTTACGATACCAATTTAGTTGGTATCAATATAATTGGTTGGCAGTACTGTACCAACCATCTAAACTTGGTTAGTGCATGACACTAGAAGTTGTATACCATGATAATACCGTACCGACTTATTTTTTGTTAGATATTTTTATTTACTAATTAACGATTTTAATTTTTTTAGTTATCTTAGCTCTAACAGTTTTAGTAACTTGTCCACACCTTCATGGTCCATCGTTGCTCCTCAATTGTCGTTGGTATTAAGCTACTAGTGAATGCTTGTATTATATGGAAATTATTTGAATGCTTATATATGTAGGGATAAGTGGTACAACAGATATCAACAATGTTATTTGAATGCTCGATGATTTTAATGCATCTAGATATAGTTGGTAAATATATTAATATAGATAAATTTGTAACGTCAACTTTTACGATGTTGGTATAAAACCGTACCAACATATACTAACCGAAAAAAGTTGGTACCAGGTATAGTTGGTTGACACATGATATAAAATTTTATGTACCAATTATAATATGTTGGTACACAGTATATAAAAAAAATATAATACTTTACCATGTTCACCCCTATTTTCATCAACTCTTTTCATGCAAGTACTATATGCAATGGCTATGAAATCAAAAAAAAAAAGAAATTCAGTGAATATAGTAAATGACTGGTTTTTTTCTCAATTAGTGTAATAAACTTTTTAATATCTATATTTTAACAGATAACTGATTGATTTTATAACGATTGATAATCGAGAAAATTAACAATTCGTCTTTAAATCAGAAGTAGATGCCTCTTCCAAGGCTCTGTTTAGGCTACCACATTAAAATAAATAGCAAATTACATAAAAAAGTAACATACTTTAACTTGATTCCTATTTTGGATAACGTGTTTTTAAAACTTCTATTTTGTTATCTAAGATGTAAAATTCTAAATATTTAAGTACCCGGTTGAAGTATTAACATGTTATCATGCTGATGCGACGAGTGATATACTATCCAACTCAGTATTATTTGCTAACATGATTAAAGACATTAGTCTTTTTTTTTTTTAATCTAAAATTGAACTTTGTCAAAGGATATTGATTATTTTATTGCATTTTGCTAAAAAGTAGAATTTGGTTGGAAATTACATTTTTGGTTCCTTATCTATATCTGCTTTTTGGTTTTCATACCTGAATTACGTAAAGTACATTTTTGGTTCATTTTGTTTTAAATCTCAAATAAATCTCTTCTATTAACACCGTTAAATGGGCTCCGTTAACGTTATTATGTACCCCTCAAATGAGGGGCACTTTTGTCCTTTTAGATTTATGTTTTTTTTTCTGGAAAAGAAATATCATATATCAAATATTTATATATTAAATAATATTTAATATGTCATTTTTTTTATTAAATCACTTCCAAGAGAAAACGTAGTTCTCCAGATGCCAAACTAGGCTCTTCGTCTTTTTCACTGTCACCGGCTTCCTCCCCTTCTCCTGATCTAAAACCCTATCTCCGACTACCTTCTCGAAGACATACATCTGCAATTTGTGATGGTGGTATCCGATGCCACCAGCAGTAGCCAAGAACCGAGACTCTTATCTTCCGTTGTCAGATTTAGGCATGGGAATGGGCCCGACCCCTTAGGGAATCCGGTCCACCCGTCCCGGTCGAGGACGGAGATTCCCCGCTAAATTGGGGATGGGGATGGGGACGGGTATCGTACTCCCCACCCCGTATCCGTTATATATATATATATATATATATTATATGTGTGTGTATGTATTTTTTTATTAATCTGGTTATCCAACCCAGTATGCGAGCCGACTAATCCCAGGGCGACCATCTGCTTTGCAGATAGCCCAGAGTCACCGCATTTGAACCTCCGTGGCCACAAGGGGATTTTTATTCCTCCTTGGATTTGAACCTGGGACCTCCAGGTACTTTTGACCTTTGGAGCCAAGCTCAAACCAACCAGGCACCACCCTTGTGGTTATATATGTATATTATTTATTTCAATTAAAGCGGTAATTCATAATTTCATATTTCTTAACTTGGTTTATAATCTAAAATTGTTATTTTTTGGATGTCAAGTCAAAATACAATTACTCGCTAAGTTTTGATATTACTCAATATCTTTTGGTATATGTGACTTTAAGTCTTTTTTGGATTAAATTGAACTTTTTTTTTTGTTATAGGTTATTAATTTTTATATGATGTTGTGGTTTTTTTGTATTAAATAAAATTTATTTTGGTTTTGGGTTTGTTGAAAATGTTTGAGATTTAAACATGAATGATCTCTCACATATTTAATTTAAAATAACTTACATTAACAGGGAAAAATCTTCGTTTCCCCGTTGGGAATGGAGATGAAGATGTGATTATATTCCCCGGCGGAGACAAGGACGGGGATAAAGATAAGTAATCGAGGATGGGGGTTGAGGTCCCGCCCCATCCTCGCCTCATTCCCATGCCTAGTGAGATTCACTTTGCAGATGTTCCTGAAGACAATGTACTTTGGGTTTATGAAGACGATCTCAAAGGTTCTTCTTGTTCTTGATTTTGAAGACGAAGGTTCTTGATTTATGAAGACGATTTCGATATCAGATCTGGTTCTTGCTGTTCTTGATTTAGGGTTTTAGAATCGGCTGTCATATTTTGTTTTTGATTTCGGGGTTGTGAGATGGATCAGTTTCCAGATCTTGTTTTCTCGGTTGACAGTTTAAATGTTTTTCTTAACAATGTTCTTGTTTTCAGATCTTCAGATTGTGTTTTTGTTGTCTGAGTTGTGATATGGATCGATTTCCAGATTTTGTTTTGTGGTCATAATAAAATTCGTAAGATTTGTATGAATGTTTTTAAATTTCAAGATTAGGATTTTGGTTATAAGGATTTGATTTTGAGTTTTGATATCAAGGATTTAGGGATCGTTTACCAAACACTTATCCGGTAAGTGCTTATTGGCAAAAGTTAACACTATCATTTACTTACCGGGTAAGATTTTAGTCAATCAAAACGGCATCGTATGCAACAATTTACCCAGTAAACACTTACCATAGTAAGAGTCGTTGCCCTCACTTACCGGGTAAGCCTCTTGGTCCTTGTCTTGCTCTTACCGGTAAGATTCTTGGTCCTTATCATATTCATTCGATAATGTAATGTGATTTGGTAAGCGCTTACTCGAATAAGCATTTGGTAAACGGCCCCTTAATATTGCTTTTGTGTTCGGGATCTGAAACATGAAGTTTGTACCAAGAGTCCAAGGGTATATTTTATAAATTCAAGGGACGAAAACCACAAAACAGGTATAGTTGAGGGACCAAAAATGTAATTCACGACAGAGTCTTCCACTGTCATTAATTATATTGTGATTAAAGCAGGCAAATGGCATAATTCAACCGTAAATCACCTGTTAATCCACACACATTGTTTTCACACACACAATTTCTTCCATGGCGTCTCTTCAACTCACTCCTCCCTCCGGTGTCTCCACTCGCACCGGTCGCTCTCTTTCTGACTTCAGAGTTTTCCGATGCCGGAGGCCTCTCTCCCTCCGATGCTCCGCTGAAGAACTTTCCTTGCCATCTATGGCCGTTGGTTTCGATTTTGACGCCAAGGTTTTCCGGCATAACTTGACCAGAAGCGAGAACTACAACCGGAAAGGTTTCGGACATAAGAAGGAGACTCTTGAGCTCATGAATCAAGAGTATACTAGTAAGAATTAGCAATTCAATTTCTTTTGTTGATTGAATCTTCTGTCTCAATCTGATGTGACTCTTGATGTTTGTTCAAATTCACTTGCGTTATGATTAATTCTATTACGACTTGCAATTTTTGTCTCGGTCTGATGTGACTATTGATGTTTGTTGACCGGTGTTTTTACGCTGGAACTTTTTTGTTGACCGGTGTTTTTACACCGGAACTTTAAGATTGCGATGTTCACAAGAGGAAGATATTTATGTTAAATAATCCTTTCATTACGGTGGAAGCTGTGTTATGATCTGTGCTGTAAATTTTTGTAGGGCGTGTAGCAGATAAACTCTGAAATGATTGATATGTAGTTTGCTCAAATTGAATTCTTTAATGATTGACATGTAGTTTGTTTAAATTAAATATATTCAGAGGAGACCGATTGGGGTTTTCAGTATATTGATGTTTTATGTTATCATTAACAGGCGAGATCATAAAGACTTTAAAGGAGAATAACTACGAATTTACATGGGGAAATGTTATTGTAAAGCTGGCAGAAGCTTATGGTTTTTGCTGGGGTGTTGAGCGTGCAGTCCAGATTGCTTACGAAGCCAGGAAACAGTTCCCTGATAAGACGATATGGATCACAAACGAAATTATTCACAACCCAACTGTTAATAAGGTATCAATTAATTTTTTCTTGGATAAATTTTATAATTCCCTGTGGCTTACAATCTATTGATAATTTTCCTTAATGACAGACTTTTTAAGGGCTTGAATTAGATTATGCTTTCCGTTACTTCCTGAATGTCTTTGTCATTCGAATACACTTCTATTGGTTTTAATTAGAAAATATCGTCATACTTGTTGTGATGAGTACTATGTCTGTTGTAAATGCACCTAGTGAGAACCAAACCTTAGACACTTCAAGTGGCACCAAGTCCAAGTGATTTTCCATTAAGCCAAATCCCTTGGGGTTATCACATTCGACTGGTCTGAAAGTTTAGTCTTTTTCTTGTTCTGAGTTGCCTTATAACAAAATAGACTTGAGTGTCCTGTCTGAAAGCATTATTCTTGTTATGAATTAGACTTGTGGATAGCCTATTATTTCTACTTGCCTCATACATATGTATCCTGTAAATCTTGAGATTTCTCAAAAGATGAAGAATCACCTCGCCTTATGTTTTTTTTTTTTTTTTGTAAGAGTGTCCGGGCCAAAGCCCGACTAATCCCCGGCAAATTTGGAGGCTAAACATGGCCCCACTTAAATGTCGCCAACACTCCCCTCCCAGGGCTCGAACTTGGGTTCATGACTATGCCATGCCCAAGCCTTTACTACTAGGCTGGAAGGTCTTTGACAAACCTCGCCTTATGTTTGTGGTAGTATTTATTATTTCTTTGATATGTTTATTCTTTTTGTGTTGGCATTTTCTGTGATCTATGTTTTATTCAATAGATCATATTTGGTAAAAAGATTGCTTTGTCTAATGCTAGAGACTAGAAGAGATGGAAGTTAAGTTTATTCCCATCAAGGATGGATCTAAGCAGTTTGATGTCATTGATAAGGGTGATGTTGTGATTCTGCCTGCTTTTGGAGCTGCGGTAGACGAGATGTTGACTTTGAGTAACAAACAAGTACAAATAGTTGATACGACGTGCCCTTGGGTGTCCAAGGTAATTCTTTCTCTCTTTTTCTTCTCTGTTTTTGATGCTTTGGTTCTTCATCTTTTGTCTCCATGGTCTATGGGGGCAGAGTCCATCGCTCCCATACACTTGAACCAGGTAAATCTCCTCCTTCTGGAGCTGGGCATAGCCCAGCACAAGGAGGAAGCGCCTCCTTGGTCTCGAATCTAGGTCTCGTGTTAAACACCAGGCCGCCAAATTGGCACTTCTTATGGAGTTATGGTTTTTTTTTTCTGTTATTTACTTGTTTATGTTTTTTGCCCACATAGCATTTAGCTCTGGCCCATGGTTTTCACATGCAATCTTTCAAGTTTTGCATTCATTAAATGATAAGGTTTATATTCTTATGCATTTTTTGTGGGATTCAAGGTGTGGAACACAGTCGAAAAGCATAAGAAGGGTGACTACACATCAATTATTCATGGTAAATATGCCCATGAGGAGACTGTAGCAACGGCATCTTTTGCAGGAAGGTATATCATTTTGAAGAACATGGACGAGGTAAAGCTTAATGTGCTTCTTCTTCTGAAGTGCAGAACACGTATCCACAATGATATACCTGAATTAAATGATTTCCTACTTTATACAGGCAACATATGTGTGTGATTACATTCTTGGTGGTGAACTTAATGGATCTAGCTCAACAAAAGACGCTTTTCTGGAGGTGCTGTCTTCTTTTGACTGATTTCAATGATGATTTTTACATATGTTAGCCAGTTCTTCCCGTTTCTTCTCTCATTCGCTTTCTACTTGTAACTATAGTTCAAACTTCAAATGCTTGCAGAAATTCAAATTTGCAGTTTCCAAGGGTTTTGATCCAGACAAGGATCTTGTTAAAGCTGGTGTGGCGAACCAAACTACTATGCTATCGGGGGAAACAGAGGAGATTGGTCAGTGACAGTTGTTATTCAGTTAGTGTTACCACTTGTGTAGCGGTTGCCATTTTCATGTTTCCTTTTTCTTTATTTGCAGGGAAATTGGTAGAGAGGACTATGATGCAGAAGTTTGGAGTAGAAAATATCAACAATCACTTCATAAGTTTCAACACTACCTGTAATGCTACTCAGGCAAGTTCTTTTGTTTTTTTTCCTTATGTCACGACATGGTTGGTTGCGTTGCTTTCCCCCACTAGAGGCGGGTCCAGAAAAATTTCCTAGCAGGGGCACAAAATAATTAGCATATAATAAAATGAAACAAATATTAATTATAAAAAAGTACGGTTCATTAAAAATGCAAACAAGTGTTTTTTTGCAACATACAAGTGAGTTTTTTCTTTTTTGCTGTTATTGCCAAAATTTTAAAAGTGAGCCAAAACGATTCGAACTTGCAACCTTTAATACCACATGCAATGACACAACTAGTAGTTTGCAACCATTTTTTGTTAAATTATGGGAGAACACATCAATTTAAAGCAGGTGCACCTTAATCCCTTAAGAAATTCCCATTGCATCGAAATGATAGATTGGGTGCATGTGCATCGTCTCCGGTCTTCTTAAAAATTCGCCCCTGTCCCCGCCCCTGTCCCACTAACTTTTGAACATTTTCTCTAAGAATAATATGATTTAATCTATCCTTGTAGGAGCGACAAGATGCTATGTATAAGTTGGTGGATGAAAAGATGGATCTTATGTTAGTAATCGGTGGGTGGAACTCGAGCAACACCTCACACCTACAAGAGATTGCAGAAGATCGCGGCATTCCATCTTTTTGGATTGACAGTGAACAAAGAATAGGTCCTGGAAACCTAATTGCTTACAAGTTGATGGTAAAGACGTTCACCTTATTAACTAGTTTCTGGCGTTATTACTTGCTCTATTTTTTAATACGTTACGTAACTACGTTCAAACGTTTCAACAGCATGGTGAATTGGTTGAGAAAGAAAACTGGCTGCCAAAGGGCCCTATCACGATTGGCGTGACATCCGGTGCATCTACCCCCGATAAGGTAACTCTCATCACTCGAAATTTGTTGGACTATCTCCGACAATTTCTCCGTAAACAAAAGTCAAAATCTCCAAAAATAAAATATGCATTCAGTTCATGCATTCTCTATTTTGAATATTCTAACATTAATTATAGAGTAAATTACATTCTTGGTCCCTGTGGTTTATTGGTTGCCATCACTATGGTCCCTCAAACTTGTTTATTACACTCCTGGTGCCTGTGGTATGCAAAAGCGCACACTTTAAGTCCCTCTTTCTAACGAGATCGGTTTAATCAGTTAACTTAAGGGCTAACTTTGTCATTTTACCATTCTTTTCATCTTTTTCCTAGTAAAAAGAAAATAACTAAATTAATATGTTTTAGAGTAAATTAGGATTTGGTCCCTCGGGTAATTGTGATTTACTCGTGGTTTGCATTTTTGCACTCTTTGAATCCCCATCTTCTAATAGAATTTAATTGGCCTAACAAAAAATTTTAACGGATGTTAAATAGGACTCGGGAGAGTGTGAAAATAAAAACCAGGAGTTCCATCCTTGAATATATTTTGATTTTGGGGGCGACTGTGGGTAGAAGTGTAAACGACAGAGACCAAATCCGTAATTTACTCTTATGCTTCATATATATTATATACAGTAAATTACATTGCTGGTCCCTGTAGTTTGTAGTTTGTCTGATTAAGATCCCTCAGACTAGTTTATTACACTCTCAATACCTGTAGTATGCAAAAATGCAGGCTCTAAGTTACTCACTATTAGAATCAAAAAGATTTTGTTCAGTCAAGGGTATTTATGTATTTGTAACCTTTTCTTGTCTTTTACTATAGGGGCCAAAAATGTAATTCAAATATTATTACTATTATATTAAATGCAAACCACATGTACCCGGTAAGTGATTATCGGGGAGAAAACTCTTACCAACAGTTACGGGTGGACCTATTAAGGGTTGAGCGGGGTCTTGTACACCTGCTTGCTTACTGGATTATCGTGAGAGAAAGTTGAGACGTGAAGAGGGTGCACCCGCTTATATGAGAGTACCCTTAAATATTTGGAAACCAAGTTTATAACAAGAATCACAAGTTGACGAGATGGTTGTTGCAACCTGGTTAAAGCGTTCGTTTCTAACGGGTGTCCTGGGTTCAAGCTACACTCGTTGCGAGTTTTTAAGTTTTTTTCCTTTAAATGGTTCATGTTATGAAATGTTAAAAATGGAAGGGTGTTCTTAATTTTTTTTGAAATTGAAAGGACTAAACCGAAATTTTTAATAAAACTTATCTAAATAATAGGTTTTTGTTTCCACTTTTGTTATTCAATCACCACCCATGAAGAATCCTCCATCCTTACATTTTATTTGTATTTTTCTAGCATTTATTTATTTATCCTAAATTATTTTAATTTCATTATTGATTTGCCTTATTTACTCTAAATTCTAGGTTCGTTTTAAATTGATTTTATCTCATCTGTGATTTGTCATTCTATATCTGTTCTAATTTTGTTTAGTTGTTTTTCATATGCTCAAACTACAGTGTTAGATTTTATTTTGGTTAGTTAATTTAAATTGAAAACATAATTGAAAATCTAGAAAAAGTCTTAGATGCATAAGAAAACATAATTGAAAATCTACAAAAAAAAAAAGATCGAGAACTAAATCAAATCTTAAAAAGTAAAAAAAAATGGGAAATAAAAAAAAAACCGAAAAAAGCCCCTTATACAAATGGAATTTGGCTAAAACACGATATGCGTAAGACATAGTTTTACGTTTTGCTAAAAAGGTAAAAGTCGACTTCATTTTTAAAAATGTATTTTATTCCTTAAATTAACACAAGTAACTCAGTCAAATCATGTTGACTTTCCATGCACTGATTGTGCATTTTGCAACTTCAAAAAGTGCACACATTCAAAATAATTATTGGATCCGCCATTGCCAACAATCCATTTTGATGACCAAGAATGTTACCTGATAAGATAATTTTTTATTGATAAGCGTTTGATAAATGGCTCGTAAAGGGATCTAAATTTGACAATTTTTCCATTATGGAGCGATCATGGAGTGCATGTACATCACACCTCCTACGGTGGTTGCCAAAGCTCCGAGTGAACCCGAATACTTTGATAGGGGGAACCGGTGGTGTTGTGGTCAGAAGGGGGTAGTCGGTGATCACTGGCACTGGGGTGGAGGGTGTCTAATGACAAGGATGATGTTTATATTATATATATTTAAAGGTTATTTTGAGAAGTGGTAAATATTTAAGATGTAAAGAAGTTGATTCTCGTCTTTCGTACAGTCAAGATCGGATTTGGCTGGTCAATTATTACAGCTTTGACTGGTCAATAATTACGACTTTCATCGGTTAAAAATTGCGGTTATGCGAAACATAGAGAGAGTAGTTTTGTAACTTTTAAAAATAGGCGGCAAATGGGTTCACATACGAACCAATGTGATTATCCAGTGCTTCATGGTGAAAGCCGTAAATATTTACCAGATGAAAAGCTAGGATCATTTCTTTACTTCTCAAATATTTACCGCTTTTCAAATAAACTTTTCTATGTGTATATATATTATATATATGTATGTATATATATATATATATATATATATATATATCAGATCTCTCTATCTCGTTAATGTCATATTTATATTCCAGATCAGCCAAATTCTGTCGTTCCCTTCATTCTCCACAGTAATGGCTTTACTACAATCCTTTCCCAAGAGAGATCCCCCTTGCCGTTGTTGTCTCTAACTAAACCACCACCAGTACACTCTTCCACTACAGATGCTGAAAACTCGATTCCTTCCCAAGCTTTTCTCTTGGCCCTAACTTGCTAGTACTCAACCCAGATATAAAAAAAGTAAGAGCGCCCTCCTGTCGCAAAATAGTGAATTAGGTTCAATTGGAAAAACATCTATAAATGACCACTACGAACCCGCTAACCTCTTTTATTTTCTTTTCCATATATATAGAAAATAAAATAAAAGAGGTTAGTGGAGTTAGAGAAGGGAAACCAATCCATGACGAAAATGACATGGTGACCATATATGTGATTGTTTCGTTTGGAGGATTCAATCCAGAATTTTTGATAAACAGATGACGGGGATTTGTAATTTACTGTAAAAAAGGGTTATTCTCTCTTCCTCCGTTTATTTTATTTATAGGTAAGGGAATTTTTTTTTCTTGGGAAAAACAAAAGGTTTATTATAGGCATGGCCGCATGGGAATGGGGCGGGGACCTTTATCCCCGTCCTCGTCCCTATCCCTGTTGGGGAATATAATCACATCTCCATCCCCGTTCCCCGTTTCTGTTGGGGAATATAATCACATCTCCATCCCCATCCCTAACGGGGAACGGGGATCTCCAACGGGGAAACGAAGATTTCTTTTTTCGTTTATGTAAGTCATTTTAAATTAAATATGTGAGAGACCATACATGTTTAAATCTCAAACATTTTCAATGAACCTAAAACCAAAATGAATTTAATTTAATATAAAAAAACCACAACATCATATAAGAATTAATAGTCTATAACAAAAAAAATCAATTTAATCCAAAAAAACTTAAAAGTCACATGCACCAAAAGATATTGAGTGATATAAAACCATATCGAGTAATATACAAAACTTATCAAGTAATTGTATTTTGAATTGACATCCAAAATATTACATATTGACATCTAAAAAATAACAATTTTAGATTATAAACTTAGTTAGGAAATAGGAAACTTTGAATTACTACTTTAGTTGAAATAAGTAATACACACACACACATATATATAAATATATTTAATTTATTAATTAATGTATATAATGGGTACGGGCCGGGGCGGGGAGTACGATTCCCGTTCTCGTTCCCGTCCCCATCCCCGATTTGAGACAAACGGGGATCCTCGTTCTCATCCCTGATTTAGCGGGGAATCCCTGTCTTCGACCGGGACGGGTGGTCTAGGTTCCCCAACGGGTCGGGGCCCATTCTCATACCTAGGTCATTATGTGTTCATTTAATTTCAAGAAAAAAACCTCCTGGAAACTCCCAAAATCTTCCTTGTTCATCTTGTATATATATCTGAGTATCACAGTGAATATCGTTTGTAGGTATCACAGTGTGTATCTTGTGTTCACATAAAATTCATCGAAATAAGATTCGCCGGAAAGAGGAAAGATAAGAGATGAGAGAGGATATTTATAAAATCCTAAAATGCCTTTAATTAATATTTTAAGTTAAAAATACCAAAATTATTAATTTCCTAATTTAATCTTTGATTTGTGGTTGAGATTGAATCTCACAGTTAGCACAAACAAAACAGTTCTAATTTAATTAGATCACCTATTATTTAACATGGTATATATTTATATATATGCAGGTTGTGGAAGATGCTCTACTGAGGGTATTTGAGATTAAACGCCAAGAAGCCGTTGCATAGATTTTGTACCCAACCATAATGAGTAAGTTCCGAATTTCCTCTTTTGACTCTAATTATGAGATAGAGAGTTTCTCTCTTTGTTATCAAGGGTAAAAGTGTCATTTGCTTATTTAAAGAGTTCAATAATTACATATTTTTAAAACAGTGTACTATTTTCATTGTTGACATTTATTTTGGGACGGAAGGAATAGCATTCTATAACCATAAAGTTGAAAAACATGACTGATTGAAAGTGTTTTTTTTATTAACCTGAATATCCAACCTGCTATGCGAGCCGACTAATTACAGGACAACCTGCTTTGCGGGTAGCCCGAAGTCATCGCATTTGAACCTCTGTGGCCACAAGGGGATTTTTATTCCTCCTTGGATTTGAACTTGGGACCTCCAGACACTTTAGACCTTTTGAGCCCAAGCTCAAACCAATCAGACATCACACCCTTGTGGTTTTGATTGAGAGTGTTTTTCAAATGCTTTTTATAATGCTACAACTAAATTATTGGTTACTAGGTGAATATGGTATATTGAGTTTATTTGTGGTATTTGTCGTAATTCATATACAAATATTAAAATTATCCTTAAAAAATATGAGGTGACATTGAAGGATTAATCGAGGGAATTGTGACCGGTTTAGGCATATATGTTGATGAAATTTGGGCTGGGAGGGAAGTTCGGTTGAGAACCATATTTCCATTGTGAATAAGGGAACCACCAGAAGTACATCACATGTTTATACTCATTATAAATGACGGATTTGAATTTTTAACAACGTATGAGATGCATCATGAGGTCAAAATCGAGATCGCGAGCACTGATTCTATGAATTTCTAATTATGACTTTTTTAAACTGTGGGTGTCTTGATCGGTTTTTGAATGGACTGATCTTATAATACCTTGAATTTGAATTAGATATTTACACAATCAAAATTTTTAGTATATATAAATTAAAAATAGTTTGATTTTCTGATATTTCACTGTGGTGGAAAGAAAAATAAGTCACATTCTTTTTTTATTAACCTGGATATCCAACCCGGCGACCACCTAGATAGCTTGGTGTCACCGCATTTGAACCTCCGTGGCCACAAGAGGATTTTTATTTCTCAATGGATTTGAACTTGGGACCTCATGGTGCTTTTAACCTTTGGAGTCAAAGCTCAAATCAATCAGACATCACCTGGTGGTTAGCCACATTCTTTTTAGTATCTATGAATACAAAATAAATTACTTTTTCCTTGTAATAACATGATTTAATGTATCAAAGTACAAGGTATCGACACAAATACTAGAGTTACACACATTTATTTGAAAGATTTTTACGATAGCAACATACACGTTCAACACAAAAAAATTACGTAAAACAAAGACCGGCATAGCAACGGGGTGGGGATGGGACGGGTTTTGTAATCCGGGCCCCGACCCCGGCTTTTAGTAACAGCCCCCGACCCCATCCCCGGGTTTTAGTAACAGCCCCCGTCCCCATCCCCGGCTGGTACAAGGATTAATATCTCGTCCCTGGTTTATTTTCTAGTCAAACCTCGATCATCGTCCCCAGCCAAGACCTAACTTTATAAAATAAATAAATAAATAAATATATATATATATATATATATATATATATGTGGAGGTTCAAACGAGAACTTATATGATTTACGAGAATACGAGAACAACCTACTAATCTCAAACTTTTTTAGTCAATAATTTAAATTATATTAAATACAAATAAGTCAATAAGGGCAGTAATGTAATTAGGTATTTTATATAATTTTTATTATATTTTAATTAATTAGAATTATCCACCAGATCATAGTTTATGTATCTATATGAAGGATGGACGGTTATGGACGGTTAGACAGTTACTATATAACTGGAAAACAGTTATAACCATAAGGTTGGAGGGTAGTTACAAACCGAGTCAGAAGCACCACGAAACAAAAGTTCAGAGATCTGATCATAAAGACTCTGAAGACACGACCAGATCTCTAATCATACGGATCAGAGACCCCGAAGCTCCAAAGGCCAAAGCTCTCGTCAAGAGGACCAAAGGCTCTGATCCTCAACACTTAGAAATTTCAGCGGTAACACACAGCTTTGATCACGCTACCTTTGGACTATACTTGGTGAAATTCCACAAAGTTCGTTTCAACCTTCTAAAATTAGTCTAGATCATCCCGAAGCATAAAAAATCTCTAAGTACGACTTTTCATAAAATTCGTAAATCTCGGGGCGTTGCCCCTCTACCCCGCCCGCTGATCGGTCAGCGGGACCAAATTAGGTTTGAAAGCTCACTCTCAAATCCACCCCCACCGGACACTCGATATCCACCCTACATAGGATGTGGTGAGGTTACATTTCTGTACAACTCACGATGATTCACGAAAACAGTCATTCTACCCTCTAGAGTAGATGTCAAGTTTAAGTCCGACCCATTCCATCCCAAACCCTACTTTGAAGTGAGATATACTGGGCTGACTTGGTTTACAGGGTGGGCCGGTGGGGTGAGGTAGAGCCTTAGAGCCTCGCAAGACCCGACCCGACCCATTTGCATCTGATTTTTCCAACCAACCTGTTACATTAATGGCACTAGGAACCCTTCTAGACAATAAGTGGCTACTAGACCTCAAAAGGTGCCATATGACTCCATAGCCAGAAAGGAGATACAGTGTTCCTTTGGCTTCTTTTTTTTAGCAACTAGATTGTTTGTTCATTTTTGCAAGTATATGGTTGTATAGGGGATAAAATGTCTTGTATACACTGGTTCAAGACACTGACTTGATACAAAATGCATAGTAATTTAAGAATCTAAACAAGATTTAGAATGGTGAAGACGAAATAAGCATAACAACAACAAGAAGACCAAGGAACAAGAAACATATCTTCTGGAAAACCGAATTAGCTCCTTGCCCATGAATCGGGTAGTGATGAAAGCCATGTGCGTAGCCTCCATGACCATAAGATGAAAACAAATACGGAACTCCAATAGTTGGTCCATATGTAGTTGCATCGTGAAATCCATGAACCTGAAAGTTCAGAAGTGACGGAATGGCGCCAAAAAGAGCAGTCCTAGTTAAGTTCCCCAGCCTTGCAGTTGCCATTGGCACCAAACCCCCTTGTGCACCAAGCCCATCTTGTCGGAAATAGGATAATTGTGGTGCTGGAGCCGTTTGGGGTCTGTGGCTAGCCGGGCGGCTAGGAATTTTGTCTCTAGATAAAGAACAAGCCCTGAGGTCCGAGTTTGATGTACCCCTTCCATAAATAGGGACCAAGTTGTCATCTTTTACAAGGGATTTGCAAACAGGGCATTCATGGGAGTGAGAATGAAACTGCAGCCATTTGTAGAGGCATGGCCAACAATAGAGGTGGCCACAGAGTGTGACAATGGGGTCTTGAGCTAAATCAAAGCAAATATTGCATTCAAAAACTCCTGTACAGTAGTTATTATCGACCGAACAAGAGGGGCTCGCTGATTCTTGAAAAGCACCATCTGTATCCATATGTCAGATCTTTGAACGCCTGAAAGATCGAATAACAACCATAAAAAAAGCTTTAGGTTCATTGTTATAATCAGCTAGGGAGTTAATAGTCACCTATCATGTAATACAAGACATGGAAGATTGAAGGGCCCGTGTTTGTTTGTTTGTTTGGAGGATTCGGGATTTCACATTCAGAATGTCCAAAGACAGTGCTATTGTTGTTGATGGTCTAACGAAATTGTCTAAAAGAATCAGTAATTGGTGTTAGAGTACCACATCGGCTAGACTTGGACCATTTCTCATCCATATATGTTGGAACCTTACTTCTCTTCCCTGAAATATCTCTTTTGAAGAGTAATCTAATGTGGTTCAACGTGTTCTTACGATTAGAAAGGCAAATGTGAGCTTGCAATGTAAGGGCACCAAAAGAAAGAAGTGATTAGCATATCTAAGAAATCTAAGATACATGCAAAAATGCAAGATAAAACTCAAGTTGACAAAATGACAGATATTCGGCCAAAGAAGTGAAAACAAGGAATGCTATAGTTGGCAACTAGAGTGTTGGGCAACGCTAAACCATCAAGAGTTAGCTATGGGGGACACTATTACACTAAGGAGGGAGTCAGGTCAGAGGCGGATCCAGAAAAAATTCCAAGCGCGGGCACAAAATAACTAACATAATATAAAATAGAACAGAACGTTAATAATAAAAAGTACAATTTAATTAAAAATGAGATACAAGTGGTTTTTCTTCTTTTCTACTTGCTGTTACCAAAAAATTTAAAGCCAAATGGATTCAAACTTGCAACATGTAATGCCACTTGCAATGAAATTACTAGCAATCTATAATAATTTTCTGTTAACTTAGGGGAGCACACATCAAATTAAACCCCTAGAAAACTTGTTATTGCGATGGGACGATATAGCATGGGAATGAGCACCCCCTAGGCTATTACTGTATCCGCCCCTGGAGGAAGTTCAGCAAGGGTTTTGAGGGGTTGAACCGCCAAAGTTGGATGTGAAGCTAGACAAACATTATGCCTATTTGCTTACCATTTACAAAGCCAGCGAAGATCCTTGGTCGTTTCACCGTTTTCTTCAAATGAAGTTGTTCTTTTGGCAATTTTGCAGTAATCGGATGATTAAAACATGAAATGCCAAGGAGAATGGATTGAAATGTTAATAGCAACAAAGCCTAAAACAAGTCAATCTAATACAGATTCATTCAATCAAGCACAGAAGAAAATATCCCTAACAAAATTGCACTAAATCACAAAATCAAAAAGACCATAATCACGATTAGACACAACACAGCATAAATTTTCGAGATCTTTTCTATATTATCAAGCAAACAATATATTTCAAGGACATAAGAACATCAACAAGGCAATAAACAAGCTATAATTAAATCGACAGCAATCCTGCATTCTGTTAATCAATATACGACATTCTAACATCATAAATATGGCAAATTTTCAAATCGAGAACCGTGAGGATGAGATTCGCAAGTCGAATACGAAATAAAGCTGTATCTGCTTCAATTACAAAATCAATATGAGATTGAAAATTATAAACACAGCCGTTAAACCCTAAAATTCATTTTTTTCCCAATACAAATCAATCCAAATTCCCATAACAAAAGGAAAAATCAAACAAAAGGAGATGAAGATCAAAATCATACCAGATGGATCAGCGACGTAGTTAAAGTAAATCGGATCTGCTACAGAAATTTAAAACAAAGAAAAAGGGAGCGCAATTATGGAGGATCCATTGCTACCGCCCAAAAAAATCTAACGAACATCCCAACCCAACTGCCCTTCCAACAAAATTAACGTCAATTTTTATATACAAAATAATTAATTTATTACTATATTTATTTTTAATTAAAAATTACAAACTAAATTATTATAACAATCATTTATATTTTTTTTGGAAATATAAAAATTGTCTTTTTTATTTTATATATTTAAAAATACTAGAAGGGTACTCGTGCAATGCAGTGAGATTCATCTTGATTTTAATGTTTCGTTTTATACTTTGAGTTTATCAATGTTATAATGCGATTTTATGTGGTTTTGAGGAAAATGAAATGTTTTTATTTTGAATGAAAAATAAATTTGAAGATATTATAAAATTTTGATGAAAGTAAATGATATTAATATCAAATTAACTATTTAAAAATTCTTTTTTTTGTGTAATTTCTTTAATTCAATTTTTTTATTATGATTTAATTGAATTTTAAAAAGGAACTAATTTATTTTTGGTTTAATAAAATAATTTTTCTAAGATAATAATTAAGTATTCTGTTAGAACTCAATGATTATTTGAATTATATTTTAGATTTTTTATATTTAAAATGATGTTTATCATGTATTTGATTGTGTTTATCTGCAGTTAATTATACGAATTCAAAGATGGAGCTTTAACAAGATGTACTCATACAAATTTTATTTGTAATCTTGAATTTTAAGTAATATGCATCAATAAACAGTATTTTAAGCATAAAAAAATGTTTTTAAGAGTTTTTGTCAAATATTTTATAATATAGTATAGATAAATAAAAAATATGTAGATACAAACGAGAAATTACGTGAGAATAACAGTTATGGTAAGAACAATTTCGAGTTAACTTAGCTTTCTGTAACTACTTTCAGTAAATTCAATTACATTTATCTACCTTTATCTTCACTTTTAAGTCATTTTCACAAACTTTAACATACTTTATTGAAACAAAGTACATTATTTTTTTATGCAATATGTACTAAAAATAACAGAAAATATGACATCATGAAATGTCAGATTAATGATTTGTTTTGAAAAAAAATAAACCCGTTATAAACAGTTGTCGTTCTAAAATTTGTATCTGAAAAACAAATTCAATATATCAAAAAGAAGAGAAAAAAATCTTATTAATTTAAATGAATACAAGTATACGATAATTAATTTACAGTAACATCAATGGACGGATTTACTAACTATAAAATGGTTTCAGATCAATTAACTGAATATAAACAACAGATTTGGGATCATGTGAGACCAAAGTTTTTTCGTGAGACCCGTAAGATCAATTCTCAATCCTTGGATTAGATCTACAATCTGAACATTCATAATCACAAAATTGCCACGAGACTTCTCAATAATCACAAAATTGTCACCGTGCAACTTTAGACCATTAGATCATTATCTTATGATGTTGATCAATGAACATAAATTGGTCTTACGGGTCTTACGAAAAACCTTTGATCTCACGTGAACCCAACCCTATAACAATATTGTTTAAAGTTTTAACGAGATTTCAAAAGCGAATAAGACGATGCTAACAATCATGTTAAAACTATAACACCCGTAGTTTCGAGTTTATAAATAAAATCAAAACACTGTTATTTTATTGGGAAAAGTTCAGAAAACTCAACGAACTTTCTTGATTTGAAAAATTAAGTCAATGAACTTTTATTTTTGGACGAGAAAACCATGGAATGTTCTAATTTTGAACTTTTATTTTTAGACGAGAAAACCACGGAACGTTCTAATTTTGAACTTTATCTATTCAAAATCAGTATTCAGAGATTTAATCATTATAAATAAGAAAATTCATTTCAAAAACTTAATCCATACTATATTATAAAACATTTGACAAAAAACTCTTAAAAACCATTTTTTATGCATGAAGTACTGTATATTAGTGCAACTTATTAAAGCTCTATTTTTAAATTCGTATAACTAACTGCAAATAAACATAATCAAATACAAGATAAGCATCTTGTTTTTTTATATAAAAAATCTAAAATATAATTAGGATAATCATTGAGTTCTAACAAAATCATTATCTTTATAAAATTTTATTATTAAACCAAAAATAAATTAATTCATTAAAATTCGTTGAGTTCTTCTTTAATTTTTTTGTATCTATTTTATTTAAAAAGGACATGCAAGTTTAACGTTATAACTTTTTGGTGTAAAATGATAAAAAAGTTGGCCAACATAAAAGTGGAAGAGTTGGCATCTGGGCCAGATATTGTTCATTGTTCAAGAAGTGGGCCGGTGCCGGTTGGTGGAAACGTGAATGATGTTTATGATGATCTAAAGAGTATTTGGGTTAAATGATCAGTTCTCTGATTTAAATTAGGAGTGAACAGCAGAACCGGGTATTTATTTTTAGAATCGGAACTGCCGGTTCTGGAACCTGAACCAATATAAGTGGTTCCGGTTTCTAAAATACGGAACCGATTGATGATGGTTCTGGTTCTGGTTCCGGTTCTTAATTTTTCGGAACCGTTACCCGACGGTACCTGGTATTTTTCAATTAAAAATAATAATTAATTTTTTGTATATAATTTGTGCAGTTTTTTTTATGTAATTTGTACAGTTTTATGTTAAAAATATATGCAGATTTTATATAATTTGTCCAGTTTTTTTATACAAAGTTTGTGCAGTTTTTAATATAAAATTTGTGTAATTTTTTGTTAAAAATATGTGCAGTTTTTAGTTAAAAATATATACAGTTTTTACGAGTTTGTGTATTTTTTTAACACTCAATTATTCACAAGTACCATATGAGGTTGAGGATGCGATAGGTATGCAAGAAGTTGAAAACAGATTCAGAATTTGAGATAAAATGATTCGTATTTTTTCAAATTGTGTGTTTTAATTGGATTCGTAGTATGTAATCATTAAACTTTTAACATTTACAATTATAATATGTAATCGTTAAACTTTAAACAATATTTGTAACCATTATTTCGTATAATTTGTATTCTTGTTTATTTATTTAGTGTTTTGGCCATTTTTTATTTTTTATTTCTAAGTATCAAAATTTTGATATTTTAGGAAGCAGGTACCCGGAACCAGAACCGGTTCCCGGTGGTTCTGGTTCCAAAAATTCAAGAACCGGTTCTAACTGGTTCCGGTTCCAATATCTCAAGAACTGCCGGTTCCGATTCAGGTTTATGTCAAATAGGGCGGGTACCCGCCTATACTCACCCTAATTTAAATTGGTTTTCTAATAATTTCTTTTTTAGATTGACCCACATGTCGATTCTTTCGTAATATCGAGGTCCGTAAATGTATTACGGACGTAATGATATTTGGATCAGTCGAGGAGAGAAATGGTTAGGAGGCCAATTTGAATGAGGGAAATGATCATTTGAACTGATTTTTATTTTCTTAAATTGTTTTATTTATAGATTGCGTTTTTATAACAAAAGATTTAAGTTGAAGCACGAAGGGAATTCTTAATCGTAAAAGAAAATATTTTCTTTCTTTTCGAGGTTAATCATTGAAGTCTAGACCAACTTATACGTACCTTAACTAATTTTAAGATGAGCAAATTGTATGAAAAAGTAATGTATTTTAACTTGATTCTTATTTTAGGTAACGTACTTTTAAAACTTTCATTTTGGTACTCAAAGATGTAAAATTTTAAATATTTAAGTATCCGAGTAACTGGTTGAAGCATTAACCGGTTACCATGCTGATGTGGCGAGTAATATGGTATCCAACACAGTATTATTTGCTATTCAACCCAATTTCATCCCATCACTCACCACATCAGCATGATAACCGATTAATGCTTCAACCAGTTACCATGCTGATGTGACGAGTAATATGATATCCAACTCAGTATTATTTGCTATTCAACCCAATTTCATTCTATCACTCACCACATCAGCATGATAATCGATTAATGCTTCAATCAGTTATCCTGGTACTTAAATGTTTAAAACTTTACAATTTAGGTACCAAAATGAAAGCTTTGAAAGTACGTTAACCAAAATATGAATCAAATTAAAGTATGTTATTTTTTCATGCAATTTGTTCTTTCAAAATTTTAAAACTAAAGAGAATCTCCAAATACCCAAGTTATGTTATCAAACATCAGTTGAGTTAATCCTACAAAGTTTAAAGCAAATACATTTTGATGGCATTTATTATAATAAAAAAAAGGGTTTATTTATTATTTATTTTAAATGAATTAAAACATGTCAAAATAGAGATAAATAATGATCAATCACTTCTGTTTTGTATATTAAATAAACAATAAAATGATATAAATTCATTATTTCGATTTAGATCAATGGTTAAATATAAAAAAAAAAAAAAGAAACAGATAAATTAGTTACTCACAATCAGAATGCCATTTTGAATTGATACGTAATAATACTTGATATATGTGCAGTAAAAACTAATTTTGCAAGAAAATAGAGCAGAACAACAATCATCAAACAGTTTTTATGGATAAGTAAAAGGGTATTCGTGCAATGTAGTAAGATAAATCTTGATTTTAATGTTTTATTTTAGTATTTGTCTCTGTCGATATTATAATACGATTTTATGTGTTTTTAAGAATGCAATAATGATTTTATTTTTGAATATAAATTTGAAAATATCATAAAAATTTGAAAAAAAAAATATATATCAATGTTAATATCAAATCAGTATTTAAAAGTTCTCATTTTTTTATGTAATTTCTTTAATTTATTTTTTTATTATAATTTAATTTAAATTTAGTAATAAAATAATTTATTTTTGGTTTAATAATATAACATTTTATAAAGATAATAATTAAGTATTGTGTTAAAACTCAATGATTATTTTAATTATATTTTAGATTTTTTATATTTAAAATGAATGTTTATCATGTATTTGTTTATGTTTATCTACAGTTAGTTACATGAATTTAGATATGAAGCTTTAATAAGTTGTACTTACATACAATCTACTTGTAATATCGAGTTTGAAGTACATGCATTAATAAACAATACTTTATTCATAAAAAATAGTTTTTAAGATTTTTTATCAAATGTTTTATAATATAATATACATTCGTCTAGTCTATCCTATCCAATCCTGATCGCATCAGACATCAAACAGACAACTTATCGAGTCCTCTTGTACTATCTAGTCCAATCATATTTACATACTAAACGCCGTCAAAAGACCAAAAGGTACAAATTATTTTTTTTGGGCTTTGTAGAAGTTATGACTCACTTGGTTAAAAAAACTAACGACCTAACTTCTCAAATGGGTGATCAAACGAGATTATATCAAAATTAAAGAACACGAAAACGATCAAATCACATGTGATTATGAAATAGAGTCAAGCGTAAAGGTGTGCCAGACAACTTGGCCAAACCATATGTGATTTTACGTGCGTGTAATGACATGTGATTTTACACGTGAGCTTAGTGTAAAATCACAGTTGTTCTCATGTTTGGTCAAACTTCTCATTCGAACCTGGCTCCAAACATACATGTATGACTAAATGAATAAGCTTACTTAAAACGTGTTAAAACTCGTTAAATTGTATACAAGCAGTACTTAGGAACAGCAAAACAAGCTTGAACATGCAAGTGTAAGAATGAAATCAACATCAGCACCCAAAATACAAGGTGATTCCTATCATCTGCAAAAGTACGAAATACTTTCAAACGGTGCAGGTCTGGTAAAATATAAATCCGTACATTGTTCTTTTAATCCCACAAAAAACCCTAATTCCTCGAGGTTTCAGTACCTTTACAGTTTTTCCTGGCGATTCTCGTCAGTTTTCTTGACTACACGTATTGATAGAATCAAACTCCTTGCAGCTGCTAGCGATTCCTATCATCTGCAAAAGATCGAAAAAAGCATTTCAGCCAAAGTAAAAAGACCAAACCAAACCAAAAAAACCCAATAAATCCCACAAAGAATACATCTTTAAATTTAATTTACAGTAGGCAAAATAATCAAAATGTTCAGTTTTTTCACTTCATATCTCAACCCTGAAGGTACCACTAGATCTTCGTAATCATATAATCAAGTCGGGATTCAAGGTAAAGAAAATGTTTGCATACATCGATTAGGTTTGGTTCAAGATCCGTCCCAAAGAAAATGTCCACCATGAAAAAGGCAGTCAGTTTTAGAAATGTGTAATTATTATACTTTTTGATCAAGTAAATGACAATTTTGTCCTTAATATATGTAGTAACAAATCTCTCCATCTCATAATTAAGGGTAACAATGGAAGGTAGACACTTGCTTTTTAAAACGGACACCTATTTTGGGACAAATTAAAATAGAAATGTGCACACTTATTTTGAGACAGAGGGGGTAAATTGGAAGAAAACCTTGCTTGTTAACAAAAAACATAGATCATCATATATGAGACATTAAGAATTATAAGACCACCACAATTGGACGAAACTCACAAAGGATATGATCAATATGAATGGGAATTTAGGGAAGAGATTAATGAAATTTTAATTTTCGAGATACGCTAGTGAAAAAAGATCATAAGGATGGTAAAATGCAGCCATTTATAATAAGATTCAAATTGAAAGAAAGAGCTATAATTACGGTTTTTGGGAGAATCAAGTCTGCTGTATCAGAGTCTCGATGTCAGCTCCAATTTCAGCGACTTTAGAGTCTTTAGATGCTTTTGCTACTTTGGCAATGCTGCCAACATCAAAGTCCAACGCTATTTTCTTCACAAGACCCTCGAGCATCTGTGCAGGAAATTTAGATTAGTGAGATGCTGGTCTGCTGTTGCACACAGCACACAGCAATCTGTACTTACTGTCACAAGATTAGCGGTTGAATATAAGCAAACAAGATAGAAGGCCAATTTTAGGATGGATCAACTCCAACAATTTTTGTTGCAAGCAAATAATCGTTCTTGCAGAAATAAACAAGAATACCACACCTAGCTAAAATGAGCAATTAGAGAAATTGCAAGTTAAAGAAAAAACACTACTTTACTCATTTCTTGCCATAAAATTGTCATGATTATCAGAAACATACTAACGTTTTGATGTTTCCCTATATTTCCCTATACTCATTGTTATCATTACAAACACAAATACAAATACAGTGATATAGGGTATGATTTACCCCCAGAGGGACTTGAACCCTCGTTGTCTCCGTTCCAATAGATTTCTTTGTTTTCTTTGGAGTAAATTGTAAAATGGGTCCCTGTTCAGTCTCTTCAATTGCACGGATGGGTCCTTTCGCAACAAATTAAACGATCCATTCCCATATGGTAAAAAAAAATGCATGTTTTCCGTTCCTCACGTTAATACCGTTAATACAGCTTCGTCAAATTTTGTGGTAAATTTTCAATTCATTTTCAGACAAGAACTGTTACACATTGTTATGCCAAATTGATTCTCACTGCTGCAAACACTGCCTTGATGCAGCCCTCCCCCACCAAATGCATCCTCACCATGAAGTTTCAAGTAACCGAGGCTCCTCGATGTAGGGTTTTAAACACTATCTTTAGGTTTGTGATTTTTAGATTCAATTGTTTTTGGATGGGCCATCTTATTTTGGTGATTTCTACTTCTGTTTGTCATTTTGTGAGGTAATGATGATGCAGTGGGTTGATTAGTCTGTGCTGATCTGTTCGGAGGGTGTGGTGATGGTGAGAGGTGAGATGAAGATTATAATCTTGAAAACAACAATTAGAAACAATGATGATGATAATTATGATAAGGGTAAATTACATAAGAAATCCCTAAAGTAGTGTAAAATTACAAATTTGCCCTCCACTTAATGAAGATGCTTTAATTTTAATGATATTAAATTGAAGGACGAAAAAGGTGCAACTTTACCTTTTAGGGATGCATGTTAGTATAATTTATTGCTAAGGACCCATCCATGTGATTTGAAAGATAGTCCATGGACGGAATTATAATTTACAAGGGTATTTTATTATAATAATAAATAGTCATACACCTCTCTTACACTAAATGGCAAATCAAACATTGATTTAGGAAACAATGATGTAATAGATGGGTCTTGACTTTAATATTAGGGCTGTATTACCCAATAAAAATCGTACTTGAATAGCAATTATAGGGTAAGATTAATCAGAATTGACTTTTACACTACCGATGCTTCTAAAAATAAAGTCAGGACTTCAAAACTAAATAATATACAGGTTCGATTAAGATTTGCTTCTTCAGAGTACCAAAGGCCATCTTTTTATTCATAATTTTGCAAATGAATGACAAGTAAAACATACCAGTGAGCCAATAGCAACTAAAGCTCGGAACTTTGCATCAACTTCCAAACTTTCGCCTTCCGCTATCTGTGGAGAAAGCAATCAAAGACAAGAATATTGCACACTCATTCACACACAAACATATATAGAGACAGATGGATAGATTCCATGAAAGTGTTGGTTGATATGAGCACTTTAGATCAGCGGGTTTATAGGGGGGGTCGTGTTCCAGTGAGAATGGAAATTATGGTGAGAAGGGTAAGAACGGATCTCCACCCTCAGATCAATCCTAATTGAAGATCAATAGTAATGAGATGCACCGGATCAATTCCTGTGAGAAGCAGAATTCATTGGGTGGGGGTGAGATTAAAAGTGATCAAGGGTTCAGATCCCTTCTTACGCTTCTCACCTTTAACTCCTATTCTCACACGATCCTTCGTCTTGTAGGGGAGGGGTCACTATTATATTGCTCTTCCATCTAATACAATGTTTATGTACCTCTAGAGCTGCTGAAAGAACATGGGCTTGACCTTCTTCGTCCTTCTTTTCAATCAACAGCACAGCATAACTATAAAGCTCAAAATACTTGGGATTGTTAGCTTATAACCAATGACTGAAAGTAATTTGTGAAGAACACGATCAACACAATTGGCTGAATCCCGTGAAATCTGAGATGCTTTAAATACGTACGAAATTCAGAAAAGTATTTATAGAGAATAGCAACGCCAGTACCAAAGGGAACTAATACTAACGAGTTAACAAAGCCCTTAAGATACCAAATTAGTTTTACTGTGTCAATAGAAATAAATGAACAGCTTTAGCACCACAACAAATTCATTAGACCTTGTAGGTACTCCAATTTGTTTACTTATATCAATGTAAAAGAGGAATGAAAAATAACTATAAAAAGAGTTACTGTTACTGTGATCTCATCTACTCATTTTCCACACAAATTTACAATCCACAATTCTTCCTCCCTACTCATTTCCCCTCCATGCCATCATCATCTTTACCCACAAACCCATTTCTAAAAATCCCAAGAAATCCTTGCACATTTGAAGAAAACAAGCATACCAGCTTGAAAATAGGAATGAAAATTGTCAGATTATAAAGCAATCAAATCAGCATTTTAAAGGATTTTGAGGAAAGAAGAGATTTGCTTTGGAGGATAAAGAAAATAAAAAGTAAACAGCTCTACCATTGAACAGAGACATCTGTTCCTCCATTGTTAAAACCATCCTTTCTCGAGAGAATTTTATAAAAACATTAAATAACGAAAATCTCAGATAAGATGCATTTTAATAAACAATAAATTTCATTATTTTGAAAATTTTAACTAGTATTCAAATGAGATACAGTTCAAGTCTTGGAGAGTTCCAGAGAAAAAAGAAGAGAGAAATGGGGAGAGAGAAGAGGGGTGAAATTATTCATTTAATTCCATTGATGGAATAAAAAAAACACTCGTCCCTTTGTGAAAAAAAAAATGATGCATGAATGACAGCATTCATCAAGGAATGATCCCTTCAATTCCTTAGTAATACTCCATTGCATTTCCACATCCACCACCACACTTACACAATGCAACATAAGAGCAGAAATTGATACAAGTGAGAAATAAATTTAAAGCACATCACAACAGAAGAAAAGAAATACCTGCAACTGTAGTTACATACAAAGTAAAATGTACAAAAGTACTTACTTGAGTACCAATGTAGAATACGATACTTGGACATTCTTATTTGTCGATGAATAACAGCTTGCGAATGCATCAAAAATCTACAAGGTCGAGAAATGGAATTTATATACTTTTTTTAGAAGAAAAAAACTAATGTGAATGCAAATAAAAAAAGCAGGGGAAAAAGACATGTTCATTGAATGGAAAGAATTCATCTGATGCTTCCAAACCCAAAACTACATTAAGACACATGGAAAAGTAATAGCCTTATTTGAGGTCTCACCACCACACAATATGTGAAAAATGTAGGTGCATATTAGCAAAGCTACCGAAAAGATGTGAAATATATACAACTCTCTTTCCATTGTTAGAGTGTGACTAAGTTCTTTTTTCTGCCCTGGGGGGTGTTAAAAAGGTATAAGGGTAAATGAACTGCACTATCTCATTAATTTTGTGAGGAGTTATCCTACAAGACAAAGAGGGTAACACTCTAGGGACGCATGTCAACTCTGGATGATATCAGAGCCCTAAGAAACAAGCCCCTCTCCCCACAAACAAACCCCAACCTCTTTTGGCGGCACTGATCATAAGAACAAAATTCCATTCTTTCAACTGAAAGACCACCATCATTGCTTATCAACCTGTCTAAAAGTGATCACTTCCCAATATGTATGAAATTGTCTCATTAGACAAATGGTAGCAGTTGCAAGACCAACAGGACTCCATGCCATAGAAATTATCCTTGCTAAATCCAAATTTGGCAGATACAATTCCGACAAACTATAAAGGAAGAATGCAAATTTTAGCAGTTGATCAACACCATCATAGAAATAACCTCCTGATTAAGTTGGTGTAAATGCAAGGACTAGTTCACCGACAAGCAACATACTCTGGTACTCGGAAGCTGCTTAGGAGACTTGAATTTAATATTTTATAAAATAAAAGCATAATTTGATCAAGTCACCTTTTGGATTATTGATCAATACTTCACAAAGAACAATCCCTTCATTCTTAGCAATCAAAGAGTACTTTCAATAACCCAAAATTTGAGTCCAAGGCTAGTTTCACGTTCTTTGAGAAAAACATTGAAAAACAAGTTTTCAAGAACATTCCGAAGTAGCAAAATATAAGTATGCAGTCTAGCATCCTACACGTACCTGAACGCGACGGTTTTGCAACCAGAGATGGTAGCCTGAGTTCTTAAAAAGGTTTACTACCGCACGGATACTGGTAAGAAAATTTGGTGCAAGAGCACTACTTGTAACCTTCTGAATCAACTCCATGAATATATCTGGAGAAGCAACGATAGATATATAATAATTCCAGAGTAGCAAGGAAATCCCTAAATGAAAAGCGTTTCCAAACTTATGACACATGTACCAAGTGGTCGGAGAAAGTTAAAATTAAGAAACACTGCGAGAAGAATATGAGACTAAGCAGCCAGCCAGCTGTTCCTTAGAAAAAATCAACCACCAGACGTAAAAAAGAAATTTATGTGTCTTCAAAGAAGAATACATCAGGTGGAGTCAATTGGGATCAGGAATTTGATAATCAAACAATTATAGTATGATTGTACAAAGACATGATATACCCACATCACACAAACTGGAGAAAGCATAACAATCTACCATCTGAAATTATAAAGCATATTCTAAAAGCCTGTTTCTTGTTATACGTTTGAGAGAAATTAGTATGGATACCATTTTCGTCATTAGCATGCTTGAGAACAGCTGACCCGTCCGGATGCAGAATTACCATCCTTAATACGTCAATAACTGAAAAGAGCAACAGTATTTGACCATTTCAGTATATAAAGGTTTCAGAGGTGGTTCAAATGCCTATGTTACAAAGAAATAGCATATGACCGTACAACTAACAATAAATCAGGACAGTAACAGACAACTGAAACAACACTTTGTTCTTGGTGACACAAAACCAAGGCAATTGTTGATAAGAGCATTCAAGTGTTCACCTCTTCTCTCTAATTGTTTTCCGTATACAATCTGAACAAACCAGCCAGTGTTGTTTATAATCAGTGCACAAAATCATGAAGCAGATAAAAGGAAATTCCTTTGTATCAATTTTGTTTAAGCAAAAAATAGACTACAATGAGGTTAGCATCCTCTCAGTTGTAGGCAGTTTAGGTGTGTGTTAGCCAGCATTTTATGTCATAGAATGTGGTATGTACAACAGAAACCAAAACAAAAATAAATTTTATATGCCTCATTGAGATTTGATATACGGTTCAAGGTGGTCCCAAATGAGTCCACAAAGTTCAATTTATCTGTAAATTTAACTGTGCGAGACTGCTTCGGTGCCATTTTGGACAGCTACACATAGCTGTAGTTGACCAAAAATGTGCAAGTTCTGCAAGAATATTTCCAAATAAGTGTACTGGCAATGTGTCCCTCTGTTTGCCTTTGAGTTCATGATGTTTTGACCCTCAAAAACGATCCCAACAGCAAGATCAACTTGCTGTTGCAGCTACGTAGCCATGGAAATTTTGCATCATTCTCGAGGTAACGGCAAAAATCTCACACCAATTTTATCTAGTAATTAGCTTGCAAGGTGTATATAATTTCGAGCTTTCATTTGAGTCAATATGAGTGCGTTTACCGGACATGACACTCTGATCTTCACATCAAAATGCTACGGGATAACAACTTGTCCAAAAGTTGAACTCACTTTTTGTTCCATTTTACATCGTTGTTTCTATTCTTGGCTCATAATTAGCATTTAATCAAGTAAGAACGATACCCCTAACTATATTCTAGAGTAAGTAGGTTAACAATCTGTTATTACCCTCTAAGCAACAAGTCAATAGGAGGTTGTGGTATTGGGAATACAAGTGGCTAATGCATGAGTAGTACAAAATACAAATAAGTGAAGCAGGGGTTGAAATAAGTTGGTTGTTTGCTATTGTTAGTTATCAGGGGTATGACTTATGTGAGTTTCATTTGGGTGATAGCCTTGGGAGAGAGTCCAGCTTCTCAAAAGCTGGATAATCCTATTGCAAGCATTTAGTTTCCATTCAATAAACTCTTACTTCGTACCAGGAGTTTATCACAATCTCCACGCATACAACATGTGTGGCAATGGGTAACTACCACGAATCATCAAATGAGTTCCCGAGGTGATACAAGTCAATGAGAGTGAGCAGACATCAAGATACAAATAACAAAATATGGTGTAGCCATCATAAAATAGGACACTCGTTACTTTCTTGATAACTGAAGCAGTACAACACCATATTTTCGTGAGAACATATACCAATGACTAATCAAGCATAGACAAGACAGAAAATACAGGTTACACGTATTAGACTAATCATGCATTTATCATCCCTAGGACAACCATAAATCCTTCAATTCAGAAAAAGATGCTCACCTGGAAACATCATTGAAACCGGCCATGATTTCAGCAATTTTAACAATAAACTGATGTCTTCATCTGAAAATCTACTAGTATGGTAATGTGACGTGTCCTTCAATATTTTAGCTATGGCATTCAATCTCAACATCTCAGCCTCACTGAGCAACAAGCTCTGCTGGTCCTAAAACAACAAATCAGAATCCAAAAATTAGCAGCTATGAGAAGAAACTATGTAAAAAATGTAATGATATCACTATAAAACTCCATCCATCACACAAGAATTGCAGTCTGACCCTAAACGTACAGTAGGAAAAGGTCATTTAGCATGTCCAAGATACCTTTGAATTTCTCCCCTCCTACTTTTACAATCTTTAGAATCAGGATAATCGGTAAGAGGAAAGATTCAAATTCTTGTGACTGAAGAAAAATATTTGATTCTTATGGGACAGAAGAGTAATAGATAACCCCAGCCTCTCAAGATTCAAGTTTTGGAACCCCTGAAGTAGCTCCAAACATGGTAGAGGAAAGCAAACGCATACACACAGACATAACAGGTAAGAAACTGACAACATAAAGACAGAGGGAACAAACACCATGATATTACCATCATATAAATGAAACAACGATAATACAAGCATAAAAACTTACTGGGTCAGTCCGTAAAGCATTATTGAATTCGGTAATCTTTTTTAGGATTCCATCAAACTGAGCTGCATCAAAAACAAGCATTCCTTTCTGGAAAGAGTTCTTGTCAGTTACAGACGCTAGAAATTCATTCGAAAGATCAAACATTGAGAACTCATCTGATATATGCAAAAAAAAGAGTTAAACTAGAAGCTTTTTGGTCACGTTTGGGAAACTTCAAAGAGCAATGTTATTCAAAAAAACCAAATTGACAAGCTTAAATCAGAAATTGGTTTGTGCGTAACCATAGCAGTTACATTTCAAGTGATTCATATTGGGACAATTCAATACTTTCTTCTCATCGGAGTTATTTCACAAAGACTTGCCATGGTAAGGAAGAAGGGGTAGCTAGTTTCACCAATAAGATACAGAGACTTACTTTGGTTACTCACTGGGAATCCAGGTGTAAGGCTTAGATGATGAAAGAAGAACGAAAGAACAAAGAAAGTTCTCGACCATTGTTTTCGAGAAGGGCAGATATAATATTGTTTGTTAAATTAATGAATTGTTGAAACTAATTGATTCCATGTTAAAAAAATTCTTTTTGATGCTCCGTAAGATCTAGTTCACTTAACTTCAGAATAAATTTAATAGTATACAAATGCCGCATTTCGCTCAAAGAGTTGAAAGGAGATAGTGCATCAAGCTTTTTGCAAGGGCCAACTTGATCCTCTTCCCCAGGTAGATAGGTAGTTATAGATGTTTGCTCTTCTAGAAATTTAAAGAATCAATGGACTTGTGGATTTTTATTTTCTTTCTTCACTTCATCCATTAAAATGTTGATATTAGTTCACTTGCCAAATCTCCAAAGAAGTTTATTCAATCTCAAAATTAACTTAAAAAATGTTTACAAAGTACAATTGATCTTGCGTTTTATGGAAGAGGAAGTTTATTATTTATCGACTATGGTAAGGTCATATACATCAAGATAGTAATTTTCTGTTCAAGATTGCAAATGTGATGAGGCTAACAAATTGTTTAGCCACACCTTACAAAACATGAATTTTTGAATTTCAAGCTAAACAAAAATATAGCACCAAGCAAATTAAGTGCTAGTTGTCTATGCAGATGCAGATACAATAAGCATACCTTGGGTATATGTTTGAATGTTGGTTTGGTTGATGTGGCTGTTTCAAATGCAAATAAATGATCAAATAAGGTGCACAAAAAAGAACATTGTATAAAGTATGGACATGAAAAACTGAGACAAATGACACCCCATCTAACAATCAACACATACCAGACTTGGAAGGTTGTCCTGGTACATAAGCACTTGCTGAAAGGTCAGAAAAAACCAGTCATTTCAAATGTATAAACCTTGGAAAAGACAATCTTTGGATCTGATGAAATACTTACAGCCAGTGTAAGGATCACGGAATGATGAGTCAAGGATGAAATCCTTTTGTCCTGAATTTTGTAATATAAACTCTACTACTTGTTGACGATAGGAAAGAGGCAGATTCTCCTCGAGAAGCCATTTATCAGCTGTGTCATATGCATTATCTGTAAATGCCACACAAAATGACCATCAGCTCATTTTCTTGTTTTTCACATAGAAGATAGATAAAAATGAACTGCACAAAAAACAAGTTTATGTGCAGCTTATTAAGTTATTTATGGTAAATATGAGTTGCACTTTTGACGTAGAGAAGGCTAGAAGTCCAAAGGATACAACAGATTATATTACAGAGCAAGATATGCCTCAGTAAAATCTTATAATCACGTGAGGCTGTAGTCACATGTTGGTCCAAAATCATTATACAATTCATCAAATTCACACAACGTATTCACCTAACTAATTGAAAAAGTGTATTAAGGGAAGGTTCATAAAAGTGAAAGATAATGTACTGATAGAGATGAACGGATGACGAGCACAAATATACGAAGGCACATCTCTTGAACATTTACACCACATAGCAGAAAGTAGACTGTTTGGCTTGTGTGTTTTTGTTGTTTACTATATTGTTTCTTCTGGAAACTTGGCGTGGATAGTATATAGCAGAGACAGAACACAATTAACTACCAAACTGGCATAAGCACTAAACTCGGTCAAAAAAATAACAATGATCTGTTATCTTACCAAATAATATTCTGAAATAAAAAAGCAAGTACCTGATCTATTATATGGCAATTTGCGAATAGGTTCACCATCTCCAATATCAACATCAAACACTGATTAACAGTTTTAGCAGTATCAGTAGAAAAAAAGAAAAAGAGCATAGCCAATGAAGCGAAAGCAGATTCTCAGAAGGCTGACCATAATCATATTGTACTCCATTAAGAACAGAGCGTTTCATCCCACTGTCAGGCCCATCAACCACTTCCCCGATCTGAAATAGGCAAAAAAAAGCTAATTAATGACATCAACATACCACTAGAACCAAGCCATTTAACTGCATCAAACATATAACAGAAAATTCTAGCCACCAATCAACGTGAGTTCTGACTTCTGATGGTTGATTTTAAATTATAATATCAGAAATCCAGAAACCAACAATGAAAATGAAGCTAAACAGAACAGATCGAGAAAATAGATATAAAAAATAGGACACTACAGCTGCAGGACATCTAAAATTGGCATCCTAAGGACCACAACTACAGAATCCCAGGCCCGTTCAGCAGGATAAAAGGGAACTCACTGGAATCATAAACAAAACACACAAACTAACAGGGTCTCAGTATGTTGAAGTACTAGGAGTGTGCTAGGAATAAGAATAGCATCTCTACAACCTGTACAGTTGTTACACTAGCAAATGAACTGCATCAAGAATATATTAACTACAAATTCAATTCTATGAATTAATCAGGCACTTTCAATAGATCCAGAGGAGTTTCAAGAACAGTATGCAGCTTCATTTATGAGCACTTCAGCACTAGCTGGTAAAAAAGGCAAAATTTAGGCCTCAAATAAAATAGAAAAACAAATGATAAAGCAGAGACCTCATCAATCAGATACAACACTAGTGACTAGATGAAGTACAACATTACTCTAATACAGCCTCTCTTCCCCTTATTGATCCATTTTATGCAACGGATCATCTGCTTCCTTTTCCTTTTATGAATTTTGTTGAGTCAAAATTCAGTTCCTGACAGCTTACAGAGTAACTGATTGTGTTATCATCTACATTTATTCCAGCTTTCTTCATCTAAAAATTTTAGTGTCAAACTACAACAAGAAGTGACACACTTCCTAAATGTTCCGGAGCATTAAAGTATCAAACTTGAAAAACAAATTGACAACTGGACCCTAATCTTCTTAAGCTGCTACTTTATGGTGCCAATTTTAAGGATTCCAAAAATAATCTTGCGAGCTTCCATATTTATAGGATGCTGTAATATCCTGCAAGCGCCTCGCAGCTAGAGACTGAGCTTTCCACCCCTGTCCCTTAAACACACTATTTTAAGAATCAGATCAAAAAAGGGCATGACTGTAAAAGTACTACAGACCATGTTGGATGAAAAATATAGAGTCTTCATAAAAAAAACATGAGAGTCGCCTGTTTCGCATGAAAAAAATACAATTAAGCCATACATGCTTGCAGAAACCTAAAATTTCTGATCACCACAAAGCTAGGATTATCAAAGAAATGCCCTAGATAACAGATCTATATAATGTAAAAAAACATACAACTTTGATGGTATTGACTATTCGTGCTTGTCATGGATGTGGTTAAATATAGATCTCATTAGCAACTTTGAGAGAACATAAGGTCACTAGCAACATACTCAATTGATTACAAAAGTGTCAATTTAATGACCACTAAGATAAGCCAAAAGAATAAAACCAAACTGACCATCCCACTCAAGGGTAGGGTCTGGGGAGGCTAAGAAGCGGGCAGACCTGACCTCTACCCCAAAAGAGTGGAGGAGATGTTTCCGTGAAGACCCGGGCAAACAGGTAGAAGGCATGAACACTAACATATGGAAGCCAAAAGAGTAAGTAATAAATTGTAACGAAGGGGTCAAGTCCTATTGGAAATTCCATATAAAAGCAATTTAGGTCATCCTTTCTTACCAGCAAATAAACTCTATTTGGACTGATGTGTACTTTAGGTCGACCCAAAACTGAACAGCGAAGAAAATGAGAAAAACCATCTGAACTGGTGTTTAAAGCAAAACAGCACTGTTTAAAAATGAAGTTGCTAATGCTGCAACATGCAATTACAGTTCATTCGTTACAGACCAAAACAAATCAAACAGTGCAAGTACAACAATGGTTTTAACAACCGTAGAGGCGTGCCTTGTGACAAGGCAGTTCTAAACCGTTTCTGAGGCCACGCCTCTGCTGTTGGTATTGAGGCATAGGCCTCACATGGATGAGCCACACGATTCTGAGGCGGGCGCACTGAGGCATATAAATTGCAGTTGGGAATTATTTAATCAGATTGTTGATAAATAAAACCCTAAAATACTTCTCTTTCTCATGTCTCCTCTCCTCTCTCATGCACTTTCACCTCAGCCCCTCCTCCCTCACACACTCTCTCTCCTCTCTTCTCCTCATCTCATTGTTTTTCTCAGCAGTCCACACGTCTATTTCTCAAAGTCAGAACAACTAAATGACATCCCTAAGATGCAGTTAGTTAAGAATGAGGATGATGGGTTCCTTACAGATGGTAGGAAAAACAAAACTAAAAAAGTGAAGGGGCCACAGGGTGATAGTGATCAGAGGGGTATCAACCTTGAGAATGGCATAGGTAGGAGAAGCATTGATCAGGGACCGTCTATACAGCCCTTCGATAATATTCAATTCAGTAATGGGGCTGGTTCTACTGCTCCTGGCTTACTAAAAAATCCTAATTGAGATGCTTTGGTTGGACATTCAGTCAATCAGGTTATTTTTTGGGGAGGGGGGAGGGATTCACTGTGTGGGTGCTCCTTAATCTAGTGTGCAACCCGTGCAATCTGCTGTGGTTCGATCTCTTGAGTGCTCGAATAGGTTTGATATATTGGAGGCCCAAGACATGGACTTGGTTGAGGGAAACAAAACAAGAGGCTGATTTATTCCTTTTGTCGGATAACCAGCTTTCGGATGTGGTTACGTATCAGCTTGATTATTTTGAGGCTTGTTTGGACTCAAGAAATCATTCAAATGGCGATTTGGTTTAAAAGAGGGGCAGACTAACCAAATTCGTGAGGTTTATAAGCAAAGGGGAAGCAGCAAACATCAAGGTATCCTTCATGGTTTTAAGGGCTATTGTGGTAGGGAGAGATTTGTGTGAATCCAGTTTGATGCTGCTGTTCCATGTGTGGGATGTATATAAATACATGGTGGAACTTCTGTGGATCCACATACGAACTTTTTATGGGGAGCCATTATACTACACTTAGTTCATGGATAGTTGATCGTCAATCCATAGAAGCTTTTGTATTATCGGTTATCAAATGTGTCAATGTACAGTTGAGTATTTGGCTCCTGTTGAATATTTTAGCGTACAGCACCCGGTCCTCATTAGAGTCTTTTCCAAAGCATGTTTTTGGAAGGCATTTTGTGATGGGTATCTCCGTCTTAAAGTTGTAACCATCTCTGTTCAATGCAAGCTTACCTGGGTTCCATCCCCTTTACCCTTAGGCTAGTGTTTTTAAAAGTAAATCATTTTCATTTCATTTTATTACTCTTCAGAAAGTCACAGCAATAGTGATAATGATCATGAAAATGATGGTTTTTTGAAGATATAATGAATTTGGCTTATGTTTATAAGACTTATAACCAATCAATTTATGGCTTCTATGACTTCCATAATTTGATATGGAATTATGTGGTTTATTAAGAATTGCATGATATTTTGTGAACATGAATTTTTTTTATTTCTATCATTGAGGCATATGCCTCGGTTACCTCAAGGCTTACGCCTCATGGTACCAAGGAGAACACCTCATCTCACGATTTTGACTTTCAAGACCTTGAGTACAACTTTCCATCTGAAATGGTTTTTAAATCAAAACAACACTATTTTGAGATTAAGTTGCTATTGCTGCTGCTATGGACACTCCATTCCAAAGGTTATTCATCGTAGACCAATACAATCAGCAGTACAAGCACAATTTTCCCAAAACAAATAACCTTTAAATACCATGTTTGTCAAAAGCATGTAAATTATATGTAAATAATTACCTGCAAACATCAAGAATATAAGGCTTTGATCTAAGAACAAAGATAAATGGTACAAAACCCCATCTTGACATGTACAGAATACTACCTTATCCCACATTTGTTCCTTCATATTCCATGCATATGCAACACCATTGTCTCCTTCTCGTACAACCATCGTCTGCCCATCTTTGGTTCCTGATCATTACATAATCAAAGGGGTTTTGAATTAAAGACATGATAAGTTTCTGCATCTATCATCCTTGACAATTGGAGTTTGTAGTTATTTTCTTTCCTTCCTTTCTCCTGAGAGAATCCACTCACATTAATATCGAGCTTGTGGAAAGTTCTGAAGCTAAGTCAGCAGATTACTTATTTTGAACCCTAAATTTTAGAAACCAAGGCAGCTGCTAAAACTTAACTGATCAACACTGAATAATTTGGATTAATTGCTCAATGATTTCGTTTGATTGTAATTTGTAAGCTTACGATTCAGAAATGAAAACAAGTGTTCGTAGCATTTCTAGAGTACTGGATCTCTCCCAGACTCACACCAAACAACTCACAACTAAGATCCCCCTTTCTCCTACTGCCCTCGCACCTATTTAACAGACTCCTCAATGCTACTTCCATTTTACCCCTTGCAACAGAATACTCACCCTTCCATGATGCCCTGCACTTCTTAACTAAACATCATTGAAACTACTATCAATATTACTCTACCCCTTTACTCCTACCAACATACCTACCTACCTACCAGGATATAACAATTACTTCCTTTCTTTCTCCTGGCAACATCAATGCACAATGATATAGAACTTCTGGAAAGTTCTGAAGGCTAAGTCAACAGATTACTTATTTTAAACCTAAATTTTAGAAACCCAGGCAGCTGCTAAAACTTAACATTTCAAGTATTCTAATAGACAGTTCAAGCATAATTTATCCAACTGTATAATGAGAGATCAATTCAATTGGGTACTTGCCATCTACTTCAATTGTCCCATTCTTTGGCAGTACAATGTCATCAAAACATCAACCATTGACACAGGATAGGAATTCCAAAGAGGAGGAATGGTGAAAAACAATAAAATATAGGTGGCACCTAGAATACCTCAGATCTCTTGAGTATTGCACCCAAGATGACCTAAGGCATCTCACCCAAGGAAGATTGATTCACACAATTGATAATGCAGAGAAAACTCCCATGCAGTTTGGACCAAAGTAACTAGCAATGAATTTCCGAAACAACAAATACATGAAAAATGTAAAATGAATCAGAATTGGCAGAAAATATTCAAAGGAGTAAAGTCAGCATAACATTAGCTGAAGACACTGGCCGTTACAAGTTTTTGTATTAAATGGTGTCATGATTTTTGTTAGAAAACAAAACCAAGGCAAATTTGGCAAAGGCTATTTTGTTTCTTGAAAAACAAGATGAAGACTAAAGAAAATAGAGATTTTGTTCTCGAGTTCGAAACCGCAACCTCATTAAAGCCAAATAATATATGAACGTTGTCACTTGTAAACCATTCGTAAACCATGAAAACATCAAAATCAAATCTACAATTCATAACTACCATCTACAAGATTTTGTAAACCTACTTTGGTCTTCCAAAAATGTAAACTGCCAAACACTGTTTTCTGTTTGGTTTACACTTCTAAAAACAAATGATAATACAGGAAAAATAGCATTGCCAAACAAGTCCCACAAGTGTTGGATTCATTGTTTTCTACCAACTGGAGCCTCTCTTTTCATTTTGCAACATTGTTCGTTTAGAAACATGAAATGCTAGCCACTCACTCAAAATATCTAATACAACCAGCTGAAAACAGAATTGGGCATCACAGCACATATCGAAATGAAAATTCGAAGCTAGAGTAGCGACCAAGAAAACTTGTAAGGATTTAACCGCCCTTAGTAATTAATGAAAGTAACTGAACAATCCTAAATACTCTAGCGTCCACCCTCAGTTTGCAATATGCAACAATCATTTTTGGGACAAAATTTTGTAAGCTTCTTGGTCCATCTAATTGAAGACCTTTTCCAAATCTTCCATAGAATCATTGTTCCAAGCTTAATGTACTTGCATAAAAATTTCAAAGATCTCATATTTAAATGGATGCAATATCCCTAAAGATGTGCAAATAGTATCATTGGATTTAAAGAGACGAAAAAAGTAACAACTTACTCAAATAGACAAAAACTACCTGAATTCCCAAATTATTAATAAAAACCAGAAGTACAATAGTCACTACCCAATTGAAAGATATCTAATGCTCAAATAACAATATAATATAACTTCATGTGACCCTAATCTTGTGATCCTTGTCAACCATCTGCCAGAAAAAGAAAAAAAATCAATGGTACCTGGAACCTGCAAAGCCTCTAGACCAGGTAATTCCTCCAATTTCAAGCCTCCAACTCTCTTACTAAGAAAAACAGAACAGATATTTGATTACTTATGAAAATACGATACCTAAAAACAGTTGGCAGAATGTGATATTTATGCAGGTCATCAATTGATAATAAAGTTAATAATCGTTTATCTAAGCCTAAACTTCATAATAGGTAAAAACAAGTACAAATTAAATGATAGCATAATCCAATAATACTTTTTGTTAATTCCTCCAAATTCAAGCCTCCAACTCTCTTCTTAACATATGAAGATTATAATCAATTGTTTACATTAATTGTGCAGCTCAAAGCTCAACATAACGCTCTTTGGCTCTGAATGGAACTCTGCCAAAACTATCGTCTTGCCTTACCCCACCAATGAAAAAGAAAATGCCAAATTGAGGTACAAGTTAGATAAAGCATAATCCAAGAGCACTATTTGGTAATTTCAAAGCCACGTCTTTCTTTTCTTGTAATATAAATAATTAACCCAGCCTCAACCTTATTCAGAACTAAATAATTATTTGTAAATGATAAGAAATTTATGTGCTGCAAAAGTACAAATTGGCATTAGATGGTAGACGTGGGGGATCAAATAACATGTTTGTACACCACAAACTAAAATCCAACTAACAAGATCATATGAAATCCAGCCAACAGAAGACAAATTGTCCAAAGAATGTTTGCTGGAGTTATTACAGGTCGAGAGGTACATAGTTTTCTATGAACAGGCTAGTGTATCAAATCCACATTAACACCCCCACCAAAATCAAGCTCTCACCACAGAAGCACCAAGAAGACAATTGATACTGAAAATCCTATTTGAAATGCTTGAATATTAGGCAGTCGTCATAAGGTTAATGTTTATCTACTGTTTTTGTTCATTACATCGTATATTTCTAACACAGAGAAAAACAAGAAAACATGCTTTCTATATAGAGAGGGGTAGATACCTGCTGAGCTTGTGTTGTGAAATTAGAGAGGTATATGCCTCAAGTTCAGCAGTGTCAGCTATCTTATCCTGATGTACAGTCCAAACACGTGCCACACCATCTGAACATGCAGTCACAATATCACCATTTTCCAAGAATTTGACATCCCAAACACAACCCGGATGCTCTATGCTTTGAACACAAACTCCATCTAGAAGCCAAACACATACTCTCAATGGTCAGACTTCAAATGTAGTTCAAATAATATTATAATAAATCTTTGGTAGGTATGTCATAGTTGCCTCACAATACACTCAAAGATACAACAATAGTACATGTGTGATGAGCACCAATGCATAAAGTACCATGTCATACAAGATACTCAAGCATCACGATACGGACCAAGCCACTAATGTATATGACTAAAGATATGATATTAGAAAGCATATCACATACTAAATTTTATGAGACATGTTTCCAAATAATCCACCCACTACACATAATCACATACCTTCTCTTGAACCTTACTAATCAGAAAATAATATGAAAGCTATTCAAAATAATATTTTGATGTTTCTCCATGTGCACAATCTACATTGGTACCCAAGTCATGAAACATATACAACAAATCTAGAACTGGCAACATATGTTTCACTTGATTTCAGAGAACATAGCCCAGCAAATATGTAAACTTTTTTATATTATACAGATAGTTGGACAAAAATGTCACTAATGGAGGGAGAGGAGATATCGAGACGGCAAGCTTAAGTTACACCTGAACAGTATATGCACTACTTATTGATTGCAAAATGCAACCTCTACGTGTAACCCTGCTATGTATCTGCCAATAACTAGCAATACATGTGATTCAAATTTCAATCTGGGTCCTGGATATGGCTCTGACTAAAGTAAAGCTCTGCTAAATGATGTTATGCAGATCCTGCTTTAATGATTTTAATTAACTACTAGCTCGTCTCTTATTAACATTTTCATACAGTGACAACAATATCTATTTCTAAAATAATAATTGCCAGTATCATTACCATTTATGCAAAGGACAAGATATATCACCTTTCCATATCTTAGCTGATCCATCTTCACTGCCACTGATAACAAGCCCTGATTTGTGTGCATCAACAGAATAAACAATAGATGTATGACCAACCATCTCCATTAAAACTTGACCAGTAAGTGCCCATAACCTGATTGAACTGTCATTTAAAATCAAGATCACCATCAAGTTAAAGCATAAAAGGAATTGAGGATTAGTTGTGTTTGCACATAAAAGATAAGCGAAATGGACAGAAGGTGGTTACATGTTACAGAGATGAAGGGGCATCAATATATCAAGTAGCCAATTAATGCTACATCATAAATAAACATCCAAAAGTTCTGACAGCATGACAGCCGTGTATTTTAGATGTGTAGTTAAGGTGCATGCCATGTCTCAAAGCACACTGCTAGACAGAAAATCTACGATAAGGCAACTCTCATATAACATGTGTTTATTGTAAGGCGCAAAAGGGGTGGCACAAAATTTTCTTTATTTAATTCAGAGAAAAGATAAAATATGGTTTATCGAGTACTTTGTACAATTAATGATTTGAAGTACCAAACATTGCTAGAATTCTATGAAGTTGCTAATCTGAATGTTCTAATTGTAAAAAAAATCCCAAAATAAGTGTTGAAAAGCACAAAATTGCAATTTATAGCTGAATTGGTGTGCTATTGACTCTTGCATTAAGTAGTGGTTGAATGTCTAAAAGTCAAGTCACTATGTGTAGTAAAGCCTAAGATAAAGCAGCTAGAACCTGTGCTAAAATTTCAATTTTATTCCCAAAGTTAATTTTTGATGGATTATTAGGCCGCAAAATAGTGCATGAATTGCAATTTGAGATGATTTATGATTCTGAAAATGGTGTTTGATTGCGAGTTCATTGCCAACTCTCATACATATATGATCTTTTCTGTTTTCTTCCTTTAGGGAAAATGCACATGCTACTGATTGTACCGTAGTGTTTGCCAGCAAGACTTACCACTGTAGATGAAGTGATCACAGCCCATAAATCATTCTAATTGTCAAAGGTCAAATTTCAAGTCATCCATTCAAGCATCATGTGCTACATGATCTATTCTGAAGATTGAAATACCAACATGACCACAATATTTTATATATTTTTTAATTATTAGCTTTTCAGCATGAATACAATCCCGTGTCTCAACAGTCAACACATTCGATCAACAAGTCTATAACCATCCCGTGCTCTCCTCTAGCACTGCATCTAATGATGAAGAGTGCATCTTTTAGCACAGCATAAAATAACACACAATTTGAAACAACAAGGCCAAACAAGGTGGGTATGCTGCAATAAGACACTTATGCATAATCTTTAGCCAGCGCTTTGCTTGTCTACATGTAAATGCAAATACATGCCTAAACATAGAAGAAATTTAGAACCAGAAAACCTACCCATCATGTGATGCAGAAAGTATTCCCAAACCAGGCATTATGGCTAAACCTCTCACTGTATCTGCAGAGTCCCAGAGAGAACGAGCACATTCAATATAATTCATTTCCACAGCAATATATGCATTGGTATACCAGATATTTGCCCAAGTGAAACAAGCTCATAGATAATGCACATACAGATAAAGTATGATGAGATCACTACATTATTTCCCTTTTCATTCACAAACAAAATGACATTAGCATGATGCATTTCTAAAAGCTACTGAACTTTGATGTTAGAACTTCTCTTTAATAAGCATATGCACTAATAATTGCTGTCCATGCTTTAAGGAGTGCACAAAAGTAAAAACATACCCGTATGCCCAGCAAAGGTATGTGCACATTTGCTTCCCTTCCAAAGCTTTATGGTGGTGTCACTTGAACCTGGATTACCATTATATCAGATAATTCTTCGTTCATTACGTAGTCAACTTGGTTTATGAAACTTTCTTTCAAAACAAATTCACTCACAGACCTGGTACCACTTAAAAACAAAAAAGTAGAAAGCTGGGAACTGACTGTGGCTAAAGAAGTTGCCCATATTTTCAAGAGAAAAAGAAGGGTAGAAAAGCAATGAGCAGGGTATGACTGTGGAAATTGGGGATAAGAAAAGAAACAAGGATGGAAAAGAAAGAAGGATTTTAGAAAGCATGACAAGATCAACTCCTAAAATGTGAAATAATGAATAAGATGTACTTTAACCTGTAATAAGCTCTCCTGAAGGTAATGTCCTTACTGCTTGGATCGGTGCCTTGTGCGCTTCCCACACCTCAATTTGATGCTCTCCCTTCCAACGTCTTAACGTACTTCCACAAAGGAAAAGAGAAAGGGAAACTAATATTATGTGTGATGACAGACAAAAACTCATCAAATAAATGTGAATATAGCAAAAATTCAAACATGAGATCACAGTTGATGATACTCTTTTTCAATTTGTAGCATTTTAACCAAGGTTTACTTATAAATTTTATGTGCATACATAGGGCAATTTGACAATCTTTACTCACCTAGGAAAAGAAAGCCTATTACTTTATTCACACAGAATATTGGAATGGCTTAGCCATCAAGACAATCAAGACCCAATGTTTGTTTTATTTTTTTTCTCTCAGCTTTTACGAAGCAATCCGTAATTAGTCAATTATGCAAAAAAATGTAAGCAGGTTTGCAACATAGTTATAGCTAGTCCCTCCTACATTGTTATTCATCGGCCTTTGAAAGTTCTGAAACAATTTTCTCACCTCTCCAGCCATTACAAAGAAATATAAAAGAGCATAATGTCACATGCTGCTTGTTTCACAAGATTGTTTTCCCGCATCAATGCGCCCTATAGACACATGAATGTCACCTGCTGAATTGCCAACAAGGCTTCCATTAAAGCAGAATACTAAAAAACTCTACAATCCACTAGGAACTTGTTCTCTAAGGTATTCTAGCATCCGCTTGTATCTTGTAGTGTTGTTTAGGAACTTCTAGATTGCCCACAATACATGCAGAAAGTAGGATGCTCTTGTAGATGAACCTGTTAGCTCCTAGGTCACTGTTCAATCAAGGTACTATATATATATATATATATATATATAT